AGGCCCACGGCGGGCTGGGATCTACGAACTTTGCGCTGGTGGAGACCGCGCCCGGCTCGGGCACCTTTGAGGGCCGCTTCAAGCTGCCTACTTGGATATGCAACGAGGCCGGGACCGGGCTGATGTCCACTGCAGGGGGCAGCGTGGTGGCGTTCTATCACGACTACCAGGACGACTCTGGTCATCCAAACGTCTTTACGACCAAGACGGCGAGTGCCGAGCGTGCGGTACCAATGCCGCGGCTGGATGCCCTGGAGCTTGAGGTGCCGCCTCCATGGCAGTCTGCCACGAACACCATACGCGGCGTGATACCCGACTATCGGCGCGGGGCCGTAGTGGATGTCGCAGTAACCGATCCCGCGGGTCTGGCGCAGACCTGGCATGTGCTGCCATCAGGACAGGGGGCCTACCAGGCGCCTGTTGCCATCGGTCCGGGGGCCGCTCCCGGAACATACATGGTCACTGTGCGCTATCTGGGTGCCGTGATCGGCGAGCTCTCCTTTGATGTGACAGAGGAGAGGATGCCCTCTTGGATGAGGGATCTTGCCGGTCAGTGGGCGCAAGATCGCGCCTCCGATGACGAGTTTGCCGCGGGAATAGGATACCTGATAGAGAAGGGCGTGCTGCCAGAGTCCCCGCAGGATGGCGCGCAGCAGGTGCCCCGGTGGGTAAAGCAGGTCGCCAGCTGGTGGGCTCAGGGTGACATTACGGATGACGAGTTTGTCGGATCGCTGCAGTTCCTTATCGCATCCGGCGTAGTCCGGGTGTGACGGTTGCGCCCTGAATAACATTTTCAGACAACAAAGTCAGCTTTTCTTCTACCTACCACATTAAATACACTTGCCATGTGAAAAAACCAGTAGATGAAGAAGATTGGATACCTTGGAGTGACCATACTGTTATTCTCCATACTTACTTATGGCATACCTGGAGCGGCGCATGCGCAGGGGACAGAGTACCCGATCTCGATAATTACCGACAGGACCCAGTATGATGACGGTGACATCATGACGATATCCGGAAAGATAAGGGATCTGGGCCCTGCAGGCTTTGTTACAGATGTCACGATTCAGATCCTCGCTCCAGGCGCAAGCGGCAGGCTTGCAATTGAGCAGGTTCCCACAGACCCTGATGGGAATTACTTTGTATCGCTCACTGTCGGAGGCCCCCTGTGGAAGGAGTCCGGCGAGTACGGAATACTGGTAGCCTATGGCCCGCAAAAGGCAACCGGCGCCTTTAACTTTACAGCAGCCACTATAGCTACGCCTCCTACACCTGTAGAACCGCCGGTGACAGAACCGGAACAGGTTACAACGCCGGAACCAGTTTCAACGCCCGAACCGACATCAGAACCGGCTCCAGAGCCCAAACCGGAACCAGCTCCAGAGCCCGAACCAGAACCAGAGCCTGAACCGACTCCTGCACCGGCACCCGAACCAGCGCCTGCGCCCGATCCAGACGATGGCGGCGGATGCCTAATCGCAACGGCGGCTTATGGCTCCGAGCTTGCGCCACAGGTACAGGCACTCCGGGAGATTCGCGACAGCACACTGCTCAGTACGGCATCGGGATCTGCATTCATGGCGGGATTCAACCAGGCGTACTACTCGTTCTCACCAACTATGGCAGACTGGGAGAGGGAGAGTCCCGTATTCCGTGAGGTAGTAAGGGCACTCATCACACCGATGGTCTCGACGCTGTCCATAATGAGCATGGCTGACGAGGGCTCCGAGTCACAGGTACTGGGACTTGGTGTGGCAGTAATCGCGCTCAACCTGGGAATGTATGTGGCAGCACCGACTGTGGGTATATTCATACTCAGGCGGCACTTTAGAAGACAAGTGCCTGCCTAGGACGCAACCTACTCTGGACTATGTGGTTTCTGTGTGACTGGCGTTCTGCGCGGCAGCCTCCGGCGGCATGCCCGTTGCTGACATGCGCCGGCTCTGCGGATTGCCTCTAATGCAGGTTCTGCCGCCGTTGTTTCATCTGCGGCACCGCCGGGCCCGAACCGCAGGCCCCTGGCCTGCCTTGGTAGCATCTACGCATAAACTCTATTATACCGTGACTGGATATGCTGATCAATGCGTATAGAGTATGAGGAGTTTGATGCCATTGAAGACGTCTTCTTGTACATGTCGTCTGCTGCTCCGCCCATGAAGAACACCATGCCTGTCAACTCGTACAAGGGGTATGTGCTGGCGCTTATTCCACTGAGTCCTGCAACCGGCGAAACATACCTGATGATATATGCCAAGGGTGAGCTTGAGCCGGGAATCTACGAGTTTGACTTTGGCACAAAGTCATACAAGAAGGTAAACACCATTGAGCGCGCCGACAGGGTCTACTTTGTGTCCCTGACACCTGTAAGAAACACGATCGCCGACGCGGCGCTGGCAACACTATAGTTTTTTGGTCTCGATTCTGGGGGCAGATACGGATCTGCTTCTGTCATACTTTTCGATGATCTCGTCCGGGGTTCTTCCGTTGAAGAGATCCTTGCAGAGCCCCCGCAGGTACCTCATGATGGCCCAGGTTCCTGCCTTGATGATTCCGTACATGAACACCTTCATGGCGGGGCCGTAGGTCTTGTTGCGGAGTATGATGGGAATTATGTCATTGATTACCTGGAGGTTGTTCTCCCAGCATCTCCAGAACAGCGTGAACTGGGCCTCGTTGAGGTTGCCAAAGTGCATCGAGTTTCTCTCTCCAAAGTCCTGGTAGAGCAGTGGCGCCACGAGTCCCCTAAAGTCCATGGCCTTAAAGTCCTTGGTCATGTTTATGGTGTCCTGGACATCCTCGGGCGTCTCGTCGGGCCAGCCTATAATGATGGTTGCCGCCGGGAACCAGTGGTTGCGGTTCAGTATCTCTGCGCCTTCCAGAACCACGCTTCCCCACTCCTCTGGCGCAAAGGGCTTCGTCTTGACCCCCAGGTGCTTCTTTACCATCTTTGGGGCCACGGTCTCGATGCCCAGATTGGTGGCAAGCCACCGGCCGGTCTCGTGCTGCCTGTTGATGGCTGATATGTCGTGCATCAGATCCGGGTCTGCCGCTACCGCCGAGAAGGTCATGTGGGTGGTGCCCACAAAGTTTGCACCCAGGCCCTTGAGCCCCCGCCAGAGATCCGTGATGGCCTCCCGGTTGGGCCTAAAGTCCCTGTTGTCACACCCGTAGAGTAGCATCTCGTCGGAGTGGAGCCAGATCGAGTCAAACCCATAGTCCAGGTTTACCTTGGCCTCCCTCTGCAGCCTGTCCAGAGGAAGATCCTTCTTTGATCTCTTGTTTACATCGCAAAAGTCACAGCCCCTGCCGCAGCCACGCATGGCCTCTATGAGCGAGTTTACGGTCGGTCCATTGATGACTGGGATGTTCTGTATGTTCTTGACAAAGCAGTGCATCAGCTCCGGCGCGTCGCCCCTCTCCAGATCGTTGAACAGGTCCAAGGCCAGCTCGTCGGCCTCGCCCACCACTACGGTGTCGATTCCGTGAACGCGCATCCTGTCCGTCTTTGCCAGCTCCCAGGCGCCGTTTCCGCCTACCACCACGTGAAAGCCGTACTGTTTCTTCAGCTGGATGATCCTTGCACACATCTTCTTGAATTTCATGGCCACGTAGGAGAGCTTCTCTGGCGACATCGTCGTCGTGACCGGTGCCATGCCCAGGGGATCCATTACATTGATCCCCACCACCTTGGTGTCGGGCCCCACGGATTTCTCGATATAGTCTGGGTTTGCCACGAACACCTCGTTCTTGTCGTACCCTTGGAGGAGGGCGCTCTCGACCCTTCTCAGTCCTACCTGGGCCACCTTGGCCTCGCCGGTTACCGGGTCGGTCTCCACCGGAGGACAGAAAACCCTGTCAAAGACCCACTCGGGCAGCGCCTCGTAGGGGCCGCAGGCAATAAAACCGTAAAGGAAATTTCCGCGATAGTTTGTCATCAGACTGCGATCCGCAGTCAGGACTATTCGTTTGCCTGCCAATATAACCATCTGACTGGTGCATTCTATATATCATTTCCGAGTCAGATGGCGTTGTCCATTTCCGCAAATGTCATCCTACCTGATCCACTTGCGCTTCCTCGACTTTGCCGGGGAGTCGACGACTAGGCCGTGGGATTTCATTATCTGGTATACGCGGGAGCGGCTTATATCATGTCCTTCCTTCTTGAGTGTCTTGGCCGTCCGCACCACGCCCTCCGGCCTGGGTGGTGGGCATCTAGCACCATCTGGACTTCCTCGTCAGACAGTGCAGGGCTCTTCGGCCGACCGGCGAGGCGCTGGATATGTGCGGTCTCTGTCTTGAGATGCTCCGCCCACAACCGCCGGACATGCCGCTGCGTCACATCAATTTCCCCTGCCGCCACCTTGGTGTTCCTGCCCCCCTCCAGCTGCCTGATGAGGCATCGAATGGATATGTCCGGCAGCTTTGGCCTTATCGTCTCCTTTGACCTATGCAGCTTAAGGTAATCTTCCAGCGTACGCTTGACTGCACCTATACGACATGATTCTTGGACAATAGAAAAGTCTGTTTTGCATAAATATGTTTATTAACGCCACAATTCTAGGGTTACAGATGAAGTACGGAATCATCGGCGTGTTTGCTCTTGCAGTAATTGTGGCCGGTACCATGGGCGTCGGCGCGTACGCGCAGGACGGCTCCGATTCCGGACTGTCCGGGGAGATCCGCCTTGGCTTGATCACGCCGCTCTCGGGCGACGTGGCCCAGTACGGGGAGGAGAACTTGGCGGCAACAAACCTTGCCGTAGATGACTTTAACAAGTACCTTGCCGACAAGGATGCCGGCTGGTCAATTGAACTTACGATAGAGGACTCGCAGACGCTTCCCACGGCGGCGCTGGAGAAGATCCAGTCGCTGCGCGCCAAGGGCATAAGCATAGTGCTCGGGCCTTGGTCCAGCGCGTCGCTGCAGAACGTAAAGGGGTACGCCGACTCCAACGAGATGCTGCTGTTCAGCTGCTGCTCCACATCACCGCTCATTGCCATCTCCGGGGACTCCGTCTTTAGGATGTCACCGGACGACTCCAACCAGGGCACCGCAATAAGCAAGCTCTTCGATGACGCCGGAATCGAGGTCATGGTGCCGGTATGGCGCGAGGACGCATGGGGAACCGGACTCCAGGACGCCTCACGGCTGTCATTTGAGTCCCGGGGCGGCATAGTCGACGATGGCTTGGGCTACAACCCGGAGGTCAGCGAGTTCTCAGTCGAGGCCTCAATCCTGGCAGACACCGTGCAGGGATATGTTAATGATCACGGCGCCGACAAGGTGGGCGTGCTGTACGTCGGGTTCGGCGAGGTGCTTCTGTTCATGCAGGCCGCATCAGACTACGAGGTGCTCGGCGACGTAAGGTGGTTCGGCAGCGACGCCAACACAAAGGAGTCAAAGCTGGTGGAGGACTCCATCGGACTCGGGTTTGTGACTGACACCAGCTACACCACCGTGCAGGTGGCATCAGGCAAGAACGATCTCAGCCAGTATGTCGACAGCTCCCTGAATGAGAGCATCGGACGGATACCAAGCACCTACGCAAGCTCCGCATACGACATGATGTGGCTGATGGGACTGACTATAGAGAGGGAGCAGAGCACCGATGTTGCGGTGCTGACCGCGGCGATACCCGAGGTTGCAGAGGAGTATGTTGGGGCCTTGGGCTCCTCGCGCCTCAATGACGCAGGCGACCTGGCCCAGACAAACTACGACGTCTGGGACATAAGGGACGGCTCATGGACGCTGGCCGGGACGTACTTTTCGGCATCAGACACCATAGAGTTTGAGAGCGCCATGATGAAGGACGGACTGACCGGAGAGGTAGAGGTAGGCTCGATCCTGCCGCTCACTGGCAGGCTCTCAAAGCACGGCGAGGAGAACTGGGTGGCCTCTGTCCTTGCCACGGTAGACTTTAACAAGTACCTGGCAGACAAGGGCGCAACCTGGACGCTCAGCGCCACGGTCGAGGACTCGCAGACATCGCCCACGGTCGCACTTGAAAAGCTGCAGACGCTTCACGCCAAGAACATAAAGATCGTGCTGGGACCCGAGACCAGCTCCAACCTTCAGAACATGAAGGGGTATGCGGACTCCAACGGGATACTGCTCTTCAGCTGCTGCTCCACGTCGCCGCTTCTTGCCATATCCGGTGATACCATATTCAGGATGGCGCCAGACGACACCAACCAGGGCACCGCGCTGAGCAAGATCTTCACCGAGGCAGGAATAGAGGCCGTGGTGCCGGTATGGCGCGAGGACGCATGGGGCGTGGGACTTATAGGATCCATCCGTGACTCATTTGCCGCCCGAGGCGGCACGGTAGCCGACGGGCTTGGATACAACCCAGAGGCCACCGACTTTTCGGCCGAGACCTCACTCCTGGCAGAGATAGTGCAGGAGTATGTGGACGAGTACGGCCCGGACAAGGTGGCCGTGATGTACATCGGGTTCGGCGAGGGCTTGCTGTTCATGCAGTCCGCATCGGGCCAGGAGATACTCCATGACGTGAGGTGGTTCGGCACCGACGGCAACACCCGGGATCCGACATTCATCGACGATCCGATAGGGCTTGAATTTGTGACTGACACCAGCTACACCACCGTGCAGGTGGCATCAGGCAAGAACGAGATCAGCAAGCGCGTGGACGAGGCGCTGGTGGCGGAGCTTGGAAGGGTGCCAAGCACGTATGCCAGCTCCGCATACGACGCGGTATGGGTCGTCGGCCTTGCGATAGACAGAGAGCAGAGCACGGACGTTGCGGTGCTGAGCCAGGCGATTCCCGAGATTGCCGCAGAGCACACGGGCGCACTGGGCTCGACACGCCTCAACGACTTTGGCGACCTGGCCCAGACAAACTACGACGTCTGGGACATAAGGGACGGCTCATGGACGCTGGCCGGGACGTACTTTTCGGCATCAGACACCATCGCGCTAGAGGGCGCCATGATGAAGGACGGACTGACCGGAGAGGTAGAGGTAGGCTCGATCCTGCCGCTCACTGGCAGGCTCTCAAAGCACGGCGAGGAGAACTGGGTGGCCTCTGTCCTTGCCACGGTAGACTTTAACAAGTACCTGGCAGACAAGGGCGCAACCTGGACGCTCAGCGCCACGGTCGAGGACTCGCAGACATCGCCCACGGTCGCACTTGAAAAGCTGCAGACGCTTCACGCCAAGAACATAAAGATCGTGCTGGGACCCGAGACCAGCTCCAACCTTCAGAACATGAAGGGGTATGCGGACTCCAACGGGATACTGCTCTTCAGCTGCTGCTCCACGTCGCCGCTTCTTGCCATATCCGGTGATACCATATTCAGGATGGCGCCAGACGACACCAACCAGGGCACCGCGCTGAGCAAGATCTTCACCGAGGCAGGAATAGAGGCCGTGGTGCCGGTATGGCGCGAGGACGCATGGGGCGTGGGACTTATAGGATCCATCCGTGACTCATTTGCCGCCCGAGGCGGCACGGTAGCCGACGGGCTTGGATACAACCCAGAGGCCACCGACTTTTCGGCCGAGACCTCACTCCTGGCAGAGATAGTGCAGGAGTATGTGGACGAGTACGGCCCGGACAAGGTGGCCGTGATGTACATCGGGTTCGGCGAGGGCTTGCTGTTCATGCAGTCCGCATCGGGCCAGGAGATACTCCATGACGTGAGGTGGTTCGGCACCGACGGCAACACCCGGGATCCGACATTCATCGACGATCCGATAGGGCTTGAATTTGTGACTGACACCAGCTACACCACCGTGCAGGTGGCATCAGGCAAGAACGAGATCAGCAAGCGCGTGGACGAGGCGCTGGTGGCGGAGCTTGGAAGGGTGCCAAGCACGTATGCCAGCTCCGCATACGACGCGGTATGGGTCGTCGGCCTTGCGATAGACAGAGAGCAGAGCACGGACGTTGCGGTGCTGAGCCAGGCGATTCCCGAGATTGCCGCAGAGCACACGGGCGCACTGGGCTCGACACGCCTCAACGACTTTGGCGACCTGGCCCAGACAAACTACGACGTCTGGGACATAAGGGACGGCTCATGGACGCTGGCCGGGACGTACTTTTCGGCATCAGACACCATCGCGCTAGAGGGCGTCATGCCGGACATGCCTGACGAAGTAGTGCCGGACACGCCTGACGAAACCACTCCCCCTGGCGGATGCTTGATTGCGACCGCCGCATACGGCAGTGAGCTTGCACCGCAGGTCCAGCTTCTGCGTGAGATCAGGGACAACACGCTGCTCTCGACTGACTCTGGAACATCATTCATGACGGGCTTCAACCAGTTCTACTACTCGTTCTCCCCCGCTGTTGCAGACCTTGAGCGCGAGAACGCCGTATTCAGGGACGCCGTGAGGGTGGCGATAACGCCTGGACTGTACACGCTGAACATAATGACGCTTGCGGACCAGAACTCTGACGCCTCGGTCATCGCATTTGGCCTACTCGCGATTGCCGCCATGGCAGGCATCTACGTGGCAGGACCAGTCCTGACGGTACACGCCATCCGCAAAAGAGCAAGGCGCGCATAACATCCCACAGGCGCCAGTAGCAGATGTCCTTTGATGCGCAGCTCAGCTATGGATCTGCATGCCTTTGGGCCTGCCGCGTGATGCCGGGCTGAACGCAAAGGCCACCTGCAATGTCTGTTTGTGTGATGCCGCATGTCTCACCTAGCGGAACACGAAAGCCTGACTACATGCACAAGCTCACACTTGCATGGTGCAGGCATGCTGCATCGCAACCTTGCCGTTCCGCAAGCAGCGCACAAGGGCCGTGTGTGGGGCGAACTGCCCAATGTTTGGATCCTGCGGACTGAAAGATCTGCGCTTCCCATAACCTATATAGCAAAACCGCTTTGATTGGGAGCTATGCAGCAGTGGATCTTTGAGATCAGATCCAGGCCATTTGTAGTACTTGCGGCGGCATTTTTATTGGCGACTCTGCTGGCGGCCACCGCTGCAACCGAGGGGTTTGACCGGTGGGTCTCTGAGATGTTCCACTCAGTAGCGGGCAACCCGGTGCTGGATATATCCATGTGGGCCATAACCGAGGCGGGAGACATATACTACATGCTCATCTTTGGGATAGCCCTCTTGATCATCCGTAGGACGCGCCGGATAGGGATAACGCTGATGATCTGCCTGGTTCTTGGAACTCTGGCAACGGGATACCTCAAGTGTGGAATAAGCCGTGATTCACCCGATCTTGAATTTACAGGGGTTGACTTTCCAATTCCCAGCAGCATAGACACCTTCCCACTCTTCTGCCAGGGGGGCTACAGCTCCTCGTTCCCCTCTGGGCATGCGGCCCGGGCGGCCGTCTTTGGCGTGATTCTCGGCTATGCGCTGTCTGAAAGGTTTCCGCGCGGGTGCTACCTGCTGCTGCTCTATCCGCTGCTGATGTCTGTAAGCCGGGTCTACGTCCTGCAGCACTTTCCAATGGACGTCATCGGCGGTACCATACTGGGGGTACTCATCGCAGGAGCCATCGGGCAGCGATCAAAGCTCTACCGGCTCTTTGCCAGCTCAAAGCTCTAGGCTCTCAAACACGTTGTTGCTGATCAGCACAATGGCATAGTGGTCGTCATCGTGGTGGTACGTCCAGTACCTCAGATCCCTGTGTTGGTTATCCTTTCTTAGCATGCTGCTCAGGGTGGTGGTCACCGTATAGCCTATTCTCTTTGCCACCTTCTTCTCTTTTGGCATCAGCACCCTGAATCCGTCGCTTCTGTTGCGGAACCCAACCCTCGCCATCTCTTCGGCGGCCTCTGCTGCCTGCCTTTCGTCCCTGATCTCAAACACCTTTGCAACCGGAATCTTTGATGGGTGAACGTCCATCTCGTATAGTCGGGGACGGATTAATTAATAACCTTTACACGTGCCTGTCCATCGATCCTGCCGCAGTTACCGGCTTCAGAGGTCACCGGTCACCTCTAGGGGCATGAACATGCTCGGCGCGCCTCCTCTGCATCGCAAGATGGCGGGCCAGCCTGTGCAGATCAGAACTTATATTTTATGTTCTGCCACCTTATAGCTTCGTATGTTGAGAAGGCGCGGGCCCATAATAGGTATAGCCGGGCTGGTAATTGCGGGAGGCACGTATCTGATACTGCTGTCCCTCTTCCCCTCGCTGGATCACTCGCCACTCGGCGGTGCGGTGCCGCTTCTCTCTGACAGGGCAACCACAACGGAGACGATCGGCCCCGGCGAATCGGCCACGTTCCAGTACGTCCCCTCGGGCTCGCGCACGCTGTCTGACTCTGTCTCTTCCTTCATGTGGGGGGCGCACATACCTGACTATGAGCCAGGCGATGGGGCGTCCATCGTTATGAGCGACTCGACAGGAAACGTGCTGGACACGGTAAGACTGCAGGGCTGGGAAGTGTTCGAACCCCACGTGGCAGAATCCCTCGACACCTACTACTTTGAGGTGACAAACATCGGCGACAGACCGTTCTCGGTGTTCATGACGTTTCTGGACAGCTCAGATCTTGAGAGCGACTCGATACAGAAGATAATACACATCGGACTGGCTGGAGTGGTCTTCCTGGTGGGCGTGGTTGTAATCATTGTGGGCGCAGTAGTTACGCTGGTTGACTGGAAGAGTGAAAAGAGAACCGCCAGCTACTGAACCAGACGAGATCGGTGTGGGTGCAGCGGCTGCACCCGGTTGGCTGAAAAAACGAACCCGAAGCTGCCAAGAACTTGATAAAATTAAGTGACAGGATCAAAAATATAGCCCTGCTCACGGGATTATTGAGGGTTTACTTCGAGCTTGCCGTATTTGCCTATTGAAAGTCCAACCTCGCCCCTGAAGGGTTTGGTGTAGCCATTTGTGACTCTTACTGTGTCTCCGTCGCTGACCTTCTCTATCTCGTCGCCCCATAGGGTAAGTTTGATTTCGCCATCTTCACTGTCTTGCAGCAACATGTCGCATACCTCTGTGGTGCCTCCGGTTCGTAGGTTGACTGTTCTGGGTTCTTGTTTGTCTTTTATCTTTCCCTCGATGTTGATGTTACTTCTCAGGTTTTTTGCCTGTTCAGCTGTTACCATGCTCATAAAGATCTCAACTTCTACTCCGATTATAAAGTTTTAGATGTGGCGGGCTGTGTCCTAGAGACATAACCCCACAATCATCCGCCGTCGTCGCGTCGGTACGGGTATTCTTCGAATTCTTGGGATTGCGGTATTTTTCCCACATCTCCGGCTTCAAACGCTGTCCGAAACTGTAAAATCCTATCCGATCCAAGGGATGGTGCGCAGGCTCCCCTACGGGCGGCGCGGGTGTCTCCGCGCCGGTTATGCAGCCATTGCAGTGAGCGACTCGTGCGTGAGCCTGCCGCTTTTTACGTGCGATCGCGCGACTACCTCTATGTTGTAACAAATGATCCGGATTGCAACCTCTCGGTTCTGCCGGACGAGCCTCCTGCCCCGGAGGTGGTTCCCGTACATCTTCTTGATTGCCCCAAAGACGGCTTCGATTATGCTGCGCTGGTGGTACTCTGCCATGAACCTGTCAAGGTCGTCCCTGTGGGTCCGGGTCATCTCGCCCCAGGCCTGGCTGCCGCCGTTCTTGCAGGTCGTGTTGGATTTGGGCAGGATGCGGGGCGTCATGCCCATGCCGGCTATCGCGTCGCATATCAGTCTGGCCAGGTAGGCCGAGTCCAGGCAAAAGTTGCCGTTCCCGTCCGCAAGCCGGTCCAACATGGGCCACATGCCGGTGATGTCGGAGGTGTATCCGTCGGTGACGTGATAGTCCAGGATGGCTCTGGTCGCGATATCGATGATGCTGTGAAGCTTGATCCACCCGCGCTTGGTCTTGGCCTGGCTGTGGCGGATGCTGAACCAACGGACGAACCGGTTGCCTGAGTAGCCGGTGCTGTCCCCGGCCAGCGAACCGGCCACGATGTCGCCTGTGATTCTCAGGTGAACCTCGCGCAGGTACGACTCGGGGATCAGGCCGTAGGCGCGCCATATGGTGCTCTTGGAGGGTATCCCGGACAGTCCGATCCTGCTGACAAGATCCGGGTGCATTCTGAGGTAGCCCACCATCTTCCTGTAGGTCTTCATCTCTGCCTCCATCATGATGCAGACAACGGCCATGGCCTTTGGCGGATAGGCGGTCATGCCGCCCAGTCCAGGTCTGGCTTGGTAGGGGTCACCCATCTCCTTGACGGTGTTCAATATGGTGCTTAGTATCAGGCCCGGCAGGTACTGCTGGACAATATTGAATGGTCGCTGATCGCGTCTTCCATCTGTCATTGGCGGGGCCGCGATCCGCCGATCAATATACCCTGCTATTTAGAGATGATCTATATCTGTAGGACACAGCCGATGTGGCGTGGATATGGGATCGCGTCTTTTCCCCCATCCGGGCACGAGGACGCACGCCCGGAGATGCCTCTGCGCCTGGCCCAAGGCAGCAGGTGATCCCTGTACTGGCGTGGCATGTGGGCTCATCTGCCGTACCAAACCCGGTGGAGAGCCTCCCGGGTATGCGATACGGCTTGGCGCTCCCGCATCTGCACGGCGCGGGCGGATCCGGTGACGGCTCGTAGCCGGTACAGTATGGTGCAGAAGGTGGGATTCGAACCCACGAACCCCTAAGGGAAAGGATCGCCCATGAACTGATCTTGAGTCCTTCTCGGTTGGCCGGGCTTCGGTACTTCTGCATGGTGGGTTCACACGCTCCTTTATTTCTCAATTGCGGCTCCCCTGGGTGCGGGCGCGCACGCCACGGCCGGATCGCCGCGCCTGGCCGGCGCGGCAGACACCGGAGCTACTCAAGAATTTTAACTCGGTGAAAAAGACCCTTGGTATGAACATCCTGACCCTTGACAGCTTTGATCTGCGCGGCAAGACCGTATTTCTCCGGGTGGACATGAACTGCCCAATGGATCCAACAACCATGAAGATCGCAGGACTTGGAAGGATCGAGGAGGCCTGCGAGACCATAAGGTGCCTTGGTGACGCAAAGGTCGTGGTGGCCTCCCACCAGGGAAGGGTGGGCAACAGGGACTACACCGGGATGCGCGAGCATGCCCTGGCGCTAGAGGATCTTCTTGGAAAGAAGATAAAGTATGTCGAGGACACCATCGGCCAGGCGGCGCAGAAGGAGATCAAGAGCCTGCACAACGGAGAGATCCTGCTGCTGGACAACCTCCGACTCTGCGCAGAGGAGAACTACGAGTTCTCCCCAAAGGCTGCAGCCAAGACCATAATGGTAAGGAGGCTGGCGGGCCTCTTTGATCTGTGCATACTGGACTCGTTTCCGAGCGCCCACAGATCCCATCCCTCAATAGTGGGATTCCCACAGGTGCTGCCCGCCTGCGCAGGCAGGAGCGTCGAGAGGGAGGTTCGCCGTCTGGATGAAATAATTACCGTTGCCAAGGCGCCCCACGTCATAGTCCTGGGAGGATCCAAGGTGGGCGACAGGCTGGAGTCCGTCAAGATGCTGATCAGGACCGGCAGGGCGGATCACGTGCTGCTCACAGGAGTCATAGGAAATGTCTTCATGAGGGCCCAGGGCAGGATAAAGTCCCCCCTGGGAATCAAGCACGAGGACGAGGCAGTGGCAAAGGCGCACGCCCTCATCGGCGAGTATCCTGATGTCTTCTCCACCCCGGTGGATGTGGCAGTAGACCATGCGGGCAGAAGGGTGGAGATGGATGTCCGCGAGCTGGATCGCGATGACAAGATCCTGGATCTCGGGCCCAAGACGGTAAGGCACTACAGCAGGCTGATTGCCGGCGCCGGCACCGTCTTCATCAGCGGGCCTGCGGGACTCTTCGAGAACGAGCAGTTCAGCTTTGGAACCAAGTCGCTACTGGAGGGCGTGGCATCATCCATCGCTACCACCATAGTGAGCGGGGGCCATCTCACGTCGGCGCTAAAAAGGTACGGCCTGATAGACAAGATAGACCATGTTAGTACCGCCGGGGGCGCGCTTGTGCTCTACCTGACGGGTCAGAGGCTTCCCATGATGGAGGCCCTGGAAGACGCGGCAAGACGGCACTAGAGTGGCCCGTCGCAGCCAGGACACACCTTCTGCTCGCCTGTTCCCAGGTGTACGTCGCCGCAGCCACCGCAGTGCGCCTTCTCCATGGTGTCAAAGAGCTTGAACCAGATGGTGGTAAAGTTCTCACCGATGTCCCTGACCAGGCCACGGTCTCGGATCTCCCGAAAGTGTGGCTCTATGTCGTCTATTGTGATCGCGTCATCGATGTACCCCTCCTCCCTGAGCACCTCCAGTATCTGGTCGTTACTGAACCGGATCTCCATGTCGTTGAACCGCTCGTATATCACGCGGCGGATCTGCAGCTGGACCGGTGTCTTGTCAGTAAAGATTTGCCGCCTCTTCCTTTAGTTTGTCGGCATCGCCCTCGGCGATGTGCTTTGCCAGGTACGTGTATAGCGCGTACTTGAGCGCCTTGAGCGAGAGCAGGGCGCACTTGATGCGGACGGCCTGTAGGTGTTCCAGGCCCAGCTCCGAGAGGATATCCCCCTTTGCAATGTCCCTTACCTTGTCGATATCCTTTCCCTTTGCAATTTCGGTAAGGACGGACGAGCAGGCCATGCAGATGGCGCACCCCTTGCCGTGAAACTTGATGTCTGTCAGCCTGTTCCCGTCTATCTTGAGGTCGATGTCGATGCTGTCGCCGCACAGGGGGTTGGCGTCGTGGTGCGTTGCGTCCGGCTTCTCGATCCTGCCAAAGTTCAGCGGATACCGGGAGTAGTCCACTATCATCTCGTGGTAGATGCCCGCATTGCTCATATCTTAAACACCCTTGCCACGTTCTCAAGCGATTCTATCATGGCATCCACGTCCTGCCTTGTGTTGTATATGTAAAAGCTGGCCCGGGAGGTGGCGGCAACATCCAGCCGTTCCATGAGAACCTGAGCGCAGTGGTGGCCTGATCTTATGGCGATGCCGTCGTCGTCTAGCAACTGGGCCACATCGTGGGGGTGTACGTCATGAAAGTTAAACGAGATTACCCCTCCCCTCTTCTTCATATCTGGAGTGCCGTAGATCTCAACCCCCTTTATGGCAGACATCCTCCCCAGGGCGTACTCTGTCAGCTCCATCTCGTGGCGCCTCATATTCTCCATTCCTATTCCAGTCAGGTAGTCGATCGCGGCTCCCAGTCCCACCACATCGGCTATGTTCGGCGTTCCGGCCTCGAACTTGTAGGGAAGATCGTTCCATGTGGTCTCGTGTTTGTGCACCTCGCGGATCATGTCGCCGCCGCCCTGGAACGGCACCATGGTATCCAGAACGTCCCTTCGGGCCCAGAGCACTCCGACACCAGTGGGTCCCATCATCTTGTGTCCTGAGAAGGCAAAAAAGTCGCATCCCAGCCGCTGCATGTCCACCGGCATGTGCGGGACTGCCTGCGCGCCGTCCACCAGCACAAGCGCGCCAGCCTTTTTGCACATGGGTATTATCCTGTCCGCGTCTGAGATGGTTCCCAGTACGTTTGACATCAGGCTGAATGCGACCAGTCTTACCCTGCCCGTGGCCAGGTGCCTCTCCAGATCCTCAAGTACGAGCTCGCCGTCGTCATCAACCCCGATGTACTCTAGCCTGGCGCCGGTCTCCTGAGCCAGCAGCTGCCACGGGACTATGTTGCTGTGGTGCTCGTACTCTGTGACTACAATGATGTCATCCTTTTTGATGTGTGGGCGGCCCCAAGAGTAGGCGACTAGGTTGATGGCCTCGGTGGTTCCCCGGACAAAGATGATCTCCTCCCGGTTCCGTATGTTGAGGAATTCGGCCACCTTGTCCCGTGTCTTCTCGTACTCGGCGGTGGCCTCCTCTGCCAGCGCGTAGACCGCCCGGTGTATGTTTGCGTTGTACCCCTTGTAGTACTCTGTGATCTTCTCAATTACGCTCAGGGGCTTTTGGGTGGTGGACGCGTTGTCAAGGTATACCAGCGGCTTGTCATTCCTGACGCGGCGCGCCAGTATGGGAAAGTCATCCCTGATATTCTCAAACTGTGTCTCGGTCTTCTGCAATCGCTAAACCTCCACATGGATCCGGCCGTCCGCTATTTTAACATTGAACGTGCGCAACGGCAGCTCTGCCGGTGGGTTCTGCGGGGCTCCGCTCTCCAGATCAAAGACGGAAAGGTGCAGCGGGCACCGGACGCCCTCTGGCGTGAGAAATCCCGTGGACAGGTCGGCCTCTGCATGGGTGCAGATGAGGTCGGTTGCAAATACGCGATCCCCCAACCTGGCAAGAAGTATCCTGTCATCGCCGCTGCCGATGCAGCGCATCTGGCCGTCCGGCAGATCGTCTAGACCGCAGGCCGTTATCCACCGCGACATGATCTATCGGTACTTGTAGTGCTGTTCAATCTCTGCATTCTCGTTGTATCGCGTCTCTTCCACCTCGACGAATTTTGTCAGCTCCTTGTCTGTGTTGATTCGGAGCTCCCTCCCCTCCCACTTTGACTCTATGAGGTACGCGATCCATGCTCGGACCTGGTAGGACATCTTGCGGGACATGGGCTCCAGGAACCCCTCCACAATGGTCCTCTCCGCTTCCTGCTTGCTCAGGCACCTAGTCTGGAGGTAGAAGATCTGCTCCTCGTCTATCTGCGCAACGGATGCCGAGTGGGTGGCCTTGACATCGTTGGTGAAGATTTCAAGTCCGGGTATCGACTCGGACTTGGCGCCGGGATCAAGCAGTATGGAACGGCCCGAGAGGAACGATCTGGATTTTGCGGCATTCTCCATTATTCTGATCATTCCCTTGAAGAGCGACTTTGAGCTGTTCCTCAGGATTGACTTTTCGGTCACACGGCCCTCGGTGTCATGCGCGTTGTGGTTGATGTTTGACTGTATGTCAAATGACTGGCTGCTGCTTCCAAAGACGACCTCCGAGTCGCTGGTGCCGGCCCCTGGCCCGTTGAGGTGGTAGTCGATTCTGTATCTGGACAGCATTGCCCCAAAGAGGCCCAGGTACCAGTTCACCTTGCCGTCATGCCCGACGTCGGTCCTGCGGGTTGAAAAGTTGACCGAGTCCGCATCCATGACCTGGAGCGTAGTGGCATCAATTTGTGCCCCCGCTGCCACTCTTGCGTTGAGCAGCTCGAGATACGCCTGCTGCTTTTGCGCGTGCGGCGAGTAGATCTCCTGCACTATCGTGGAACGGGACGCCTCGTCGGCAGATATGATGTTTCGGGATATGGTGGATGTGCCGTCAACGGAGAGCGACGACACCACATGGATTGGCCTCTCAAGTACCAGGCCCCGTGGCACGTGAATGAAGAACCCCGAGTTGAAGGCCGCATTGTTTAGCGCCGTGAACTTGTCCTCCCTTGGGTTTGACGACTCCAGCGCCTCCCTCACCAGGCTACCGTTGTTCTTGAGCGCGTCTGCTATGGATGAGATTACAAGCCCCTGGGACTGCAGCTCCTCGGGCACCGAGGCGCTGATGCCGGTGCCCATCTGGACCAGGCAGGCCTCGCCTGTCAGCTCCCCGAGCCTCTTTTTGAGAAATTCAGGCACGCTGCCATCAGAGTCTGCTGATATCGAGACCTGCCGGGGATCCATCCTTCCGGCGTCGGTGTACTTTGTGTACAGCGGGGATGTCTCCATGGGAAGCTCCTCGTATATCGAGAGTGAGTTTCTCCTGTGCTTCCTCAGCCAGTCCGGTTCGTTATACGCATGCGAGATGTCGTCTACAGCTTTGGGGCCGATTGTAGACAGTGCAAGAGACATGTGGACCCTAGCCTACCGAGTCGTCCATTTCCAGCTTTATCAGCCGGTTCAGCTCCACTGCGTACTCCATGGGGAGCTCCTTGGTGAACGGCTCCATGAATCCGTTTACTATGAGACTGAGCGCCTCCTCCTCGGTGAATCCCCGGGTCATGAGGTAGAATATCTGCTCGTCGCCTATCTTGCCCACCGTGGCCTCGTGGGTGATGGTGGCGTCCTCTTGGTTGATCTCCATGTAGGGGTACGTGTCGGTCTTGGAGGTGTCGTCTAGCAGCAGCGCGTCGCATCTTACCGTGGCCTTGACGCCGGTGGCGCCCTTTGCCACGTTGAGCAGGCCCCTGTATGTGGAGCGTCCGTTGAGGCGGCTTACCGACTTTGAGGTGATCTTTGACTTTGTGTCCGGTGCCAGGTGCACCATCTTTGCTCCGGTGTCCTGGTGCTGGTTCTTCCCCGCAAATGCGATGGACAGCGTCTCGCCGTAGGCCCGCCGTCCCAGAAGGTAGATTCCCGGGTACTTCATGGTGACCTTGCTTCCGATGTTGCCGTCGATCCACTCCACGTTGGCTCCCTCGTATGCATAGGCGCGCTTTGTTACCAGATTGTATACGTCGCTGCTCCAGTTCTGGATCGTCGTGTATCGCAGGCGGGCGTCCTTGTGCGCCACAAGCTCCACCACGGCAGAGTGCAGTGACTCTGAGGAGTAGACAGGTGCGGTGCACCCCTCTATGTAGTGAATCTCCGAGCCCTCGTCGGCAATTATCAGGGTTCTCTCAAACTGTCCGATGTTCTCGGCGTTGATTCTAAAGTATGCCTGTAGTGGCATGTCGACCTTTACGCCAGGGGGCACGTAGATGAACGAGCCACCGCTCCATACGGCGCTGTTGAGTGCCGCAAACTTGTTGTCCTCGGGGGGAATTATCTTTCCAAAGTACTTTCTAAATATCTCTGGCTGCTCCTTTAGCGCGGTGTCTGTGTCCAGAAACAGCACGCCCTGCTTCTGCAGGTCTTCTCGCAGGCTGTGGTACACCACCTCGGACTCGTACTGGGCTCCGACGCCGGCCAAGAACTTCTTCTCCGCCTCGGGGATTCCCAGCTTGTCAAATGTGTTCTTGACATCATCGGGAACGTCATCCCAGTTCTTCTCTGTCTTCTCGGATGCCTTTGCATAGTAGTATATGTTCTGAAAATCTATCGAGCTGAGATCGGCCCCCCAGTTGGGCATGGGCTTCTTCATAAAGGTCTCATAGGCGCGCAGCCTAAAGTCAAGCATCCACTGCGGCTCGTCCTTCATCTTGCTGATGCTCTTTACAACCTCCTTGGAGAGGCCCTTCTTTGAAAGGTGGACGTACAGCTCGGTGGAGTCCTTGAAATCATACTTTGAATAATCCATCTCGATATTTTTGGCTGTCACGATCCTGTATGTGATGTGTTGCTATAAAAAACTACGGAAAATAAGGTATAGCTAAGAGGGCCCTTCAGCCCTGGTTGTCGCGGATCAGATCTGCAATGTACCTCTCCGTCTCGATCATCTCCTGTTGGAAGGATCCGTAGACCCACTTCTCCGGGTTCTCGCTGCACCCAACCCGGTCTGTCTGCAGCTGGAGTTCGTCTGCCCGGGCATTAAAGTCGTCGATCCGCTCTGTGTCGTCAGGGCCCAGGTCTGCCTTGGCCGCCTCGACTGAGAGATCCATGACCTGCCGCGCCAGATCCCTGCACTGCTGGATGTACACCGGATCTGCAGGCTCGCCCCTCTCCTGCGCCAGGATCACATACAGGGATACGGTTACCGCGGCAAATACGGCAACCCCGATCATAACCTGGTGTCTCAGGTTGAGCATGTCTCGGCTCCGTGCGGTGCGTATTTTATTCTTGGGCGGCCCGAGTATGGTACGGGCTTCCGGGCATGGGCGCGGGCTTGGATGCCTGGCCAGGTCTTTGCGCCAGGCCTGGCAGATTACCAGGTTATGTGCTGGATAAACTCAAACCCTTCGCTCATGCGGGGCGGCTCCATCTCGCCAAGGAACCCGCCAAGAACCGCGTCATCCAGCCTGCCTTCGCGCCCCGCGTTTCGCACGTATGCCTGCCGCGTATTCGTAAAGAATATCGCCTTGATGCTGGCACCATGCTCCTGAGCCAGGCTGATGTGGACCCTGCGTATCTCCTCTGTCACGTTTGTGTCGTCGATGACTATGTTTCTGCCTCCCTTGAGCGCGTCGTGCACCATGACGTACTCCATCTGCCTGTTCCTGCTCAACCCCATGGCGTGTGGCGGCTCGCCACTCTCACACCGCCTCTGGAGCCCGTGCCTTCTGCTCGCCGGAAACCGCTTGAGCGCATCCAGGGATATGTGAACGTGATCCGGAAATGCGACTTTTGCAAGCGTCGTCTTTCCGCTGCCCGGAATTCCGATCATCAGTATGACCTCCATTATGCCGGTTTGGCTCACGGGCTAGAAAATCATTGCTGCATCCTTGTGCGGTGTTGGCTTCACCTAGCCATGGGCCTGTACGTTGGAATGTGGCCTCCAGCCTGGCTTGGTGCGGCAGGCGGCCTCACGCAGTAGTGGCGCAAGGCAGGGTTATGGTGCCAACAGGCTCATTGCTGCACGATGAGACCAGAAAAGACATGCGGCAGCATACTGAAACTGATATCCATACGCCGGCTAGTGCCGCCTTGGCATGAACGGTATCAGGGCCCTTACAAACTCCATGATGTTCTTTGTCTGCAGATAGATGGTTCCCGGACCCACGACCTCGATCACCAGGGCCTCTCCGCCAAACAGCGTGGTCTTGAGGTTTCCGTGCTTTGCGACCCGGTAGTCTGCAGTGGCGCTCAGGGCAACCAGCTGGTAGTTGTCAACGATCATCCTCTCCCCGGCCTCAAGCTCCATCTTGAGAATGCCGCCCCACGCGTTAACGAACATGTCTCCGATTCCCACCGTCCTGAGCATGAAGAGGTTGCTTCCAAAGATGCCCCTGGTGAACCCCTGCCATTGCGTATCCAGCGTCAGATCTCCTGTGGAGCACACAAACGCCCCTGACTGGATAATGAACTCACGGTCAATGCGGATGGGTTCGATGTCGCCAAGCATGTTTCCGGTAAGGCCAAGCGTGCAGTTGTCCTCCTGTGCGGTAAACTCGTTTACGAAGAATGACTCCCCGCCGAAGGCTGCCGCCTTGAGCGACTTGAGAAAGCCGCCCTTTCTCATTCTGGTCTCGGTCTCGATGTGCCCTCGGATAAAGACCATGGCCGCGGCCTCGGCTGTGACCTTCTCCCCACGGTTCATGGTAAACTGGATCAGTCCCATCGGGTTCTTCATAACTTCATACTTCAACTGCGCATTATGGGCAAATGTCTTGCAATTTAGGTATTTCCACGCCGCGCCCAGCCGTCCCAGGCCGCGGCCAGCCCATGGCCCGGTAGGTGGTTTATAGATGGCCGGCACCAAGTACCGGTACTGTGCCTGAACTGAAGACAATCGAGTCGCTCAACAGGGAGATTTCAGAATGCAAGAGGTGCCCCCGGCTTGCATCGTACATCCGGGATGTCGCAAGGAACAAGACACGGCGCTTTCGGAACCAAGAGTACCACGGACGGCCGCTGCCGGGATTCGGCGACGTCAACGCAAGGCTGCTGATCATCGGTCTGGCGCCTGCCGCACACGGCGGAAACAGGACCGGGAGGATGTTTACCGGAGACTCGTCGGGCGATTGGCTTGCAAGGGTGATGCACATCCACGGGTTCGCCTCTATTCCAACCAGCCAGGCTAAGGGAGACGGGCTGGTTCTCAAAAACGCATACGTCACCGCGGCTGTGAGATGCGCGCCCCCGCAGAACAGGCCCACAAGGGAGGAGATGGACTCCTGTCACCCGTATCTGGAGCGGGAACTGAAGATTCTGGGCAACGTCACCACGATTCTGTGCCTTGGACAGATTGCCTATGGCTCTGCATGCAGGCTGTACGGGGTAAAGCGTGAAAGGTTTGGTCACAACAGGCTGTTCAGGTATGACGGGGTTCAGATTCTGACATCATACCATCCTTCAAGGCAGAACACCCAGACGGGGCGGCTGGGCTGGAAGGCGTGGTCTGACGTTTTTGAGAGGGCAAGCATGCTGGTGCGATAGGCAGGAATCGCCGGTCGCGGTCCTGGCCACCTGAACCGTTACGGCATCCATACACCGGAACAATCCCGCCTGCCGTTACAGCAGTCTTAATTGCGTTGTCGTTCCTCCGTCTGGTGTGGTGAAACTGGCAGCCGTTCTGGCATTGCTCCTGGTGGTTCCTGCCGCATCGGCACAGGAGTACCCGGAGCTTGGGGTAATGGTGGAGACCGTAGCCGAGAACCTGCGGATCCCGTGGAGCATCGACTGGACTCCCGACGGCACGGCCCTGTTTACCGAGAGGGGCGGGGATCTCAGGGCGATCCAGGGCGGGGTCCTTGTGCCCGAGCCGCTGCTGTCAGTCGAGGTCAGCGGCGTGGAGGGCGGACTGCTGGGAGTCGCAGTTGATCCAGACTTTGGGGACAACCGCTACGTCTACCTGTACTACACCTACAACGAGTTTATCTCGACCGCGAACAAGGTGGTCCGCTACCAGTTCGCCGACGGGGTGGTGGCCGAGGACATGGTACTGATAGACGGAATCCCGGGAGGGCCGTTCCACGACGGCGGAAGAATCCAGTTTGGGCCGGACGGAAAGCTCTACATCACCACGGGGGACGCGGGCAACGCAAACTTGGCGCAGGATCCCAACTCACTGGCGGGAAAGATTCTCAGAGTCAACCGGGACGGAACGATACCAGAGGACAACCCGTTTGACGGCTCCCCGGTCTGGTCTGTGGGGCACAGAAACCCACAGGGTGTGGACTGGGACATGTCTGGAAACCTAGTCGCAACAGAGCACGGGCCGTCGGGGCTGAGGGGCGTGGCCCACGACGAGATCAACCTCATAGTCCCGGGCGCAAACTACGGCTGGCCCGACATCATAGGGGACGAATCGGCAGAGGGCCTGCAGGTACCGATCCTGCACACCGGGGAGGACACGTGGGCGCCGTCGGGTGCGGAGTTCTATGACGGGGACAGGATCCCCAAATGGACGGGCAAATATTTTGTTGCAACGTTGCGGGGCAGCCACCTGCACGTGGTTGATCTTGATCTGCAGAACAACTCGGTAATCTCCCATGAGCGGCTGTTCCAGGGCGAGTTTGGAAGGCTGCGGGACGTGCAGACGGGACCCGACGGGCTCCTGTACCTTCTGACTAGCAACCGTGACGGCAGGGGGCATCCGGACCTGAACGACGATCGGATTCTTCGAGTTGTCCCGTTATCCGTGGGGGTGGGCAGCTTTGATGACTGTGTTGCGGCAGGCAATCCGGTGATGGAGTCGCACCCGCGACAGTGCAGTACCGCAGACGGGCTGCGCTTTGTTGATGTGCCAGGCGGCTGCGTGGATGTCTCCGAGTCGGATCCGATCAGCGTCAGCGCGGATGTGGAGGATCTTAATCCTGGGATTTTGGCCATAATAAGGGGATGCGTCCACGAGACTGCGCGTACAGGGATGATCAGCGTCATGGTTCTGGATCCTGACGGCCGCATCATCCAGGGATATCCGGTCGTTCTGGATCATGGCGGGTCGTTTGCCGTATCCGTCATCGGACTGGATCATGGCGGGATATACTCTGCAACAGTTGACTTGGACGGCCAGGATGCGGGGACGACCACGTTTGCGGTTCCGGACAGGCCGTATGCCAGGGACACTCCCATAATTGCATTTGTTGGTAGGAGCGTGGGTTACAGCGATGCGGCTCCCGACAGAGCGCATGTTGGCGATGCCGGCATAACGATAGATGCCGGTAGCAGATTCTGGAGAGACCATTTTGAGGTAGGGGACACGGTCAGCGGGGAGGTACACTTTTTTGGCCAGGCGGCGGATCCCGGTAAGGCAAGCACCGGAACGGCAGACATCATGCTGACGATGCCGTCGGGCAGGACGGTAACCATGGCGGGCCGCATTCCGGTCTCTGGCAGCTACGTGGAGTTCGCAATTCCGGTCGCAGAAGGCCTTGATCCGGGAGCATATCTTCTTCACACAACATACACGGCCGACGGCGCCGGACATCCGGCAGAATACCAGGCGGCGTTCCACATAGGACAGAGCCGGCACTTTTTGTATGCCGGCGAGGGCGGACCGCTGAGCGCAAGCGCGCAGTACGTGGAGTATGCGGTATCGCCGATCAGCTTTGATATCGACTCGAAGAGCGTCAGCTTTGATTTTGAGAGGCTAGACGACCGGCCTGCGCCGCCGGGGCACCCGTTGCAGGCCGGCATCGGAGTACTGATCGAGAGGCCCCTGATCTCCCCACCGTATGTCATAGCGGTGGAGTCAGACAGCGGTACGGCATATCGGGAAGATCATAAAATAGGCATCACCGAGGATAACTTCTACAGGTATGAGCTGGTGCCAGACGAGGGCGTGAAGCGGGGAACCGTGACGATAACCGGGACGTACGTAATTCCGGAGTTTGGGATCGTCGCATCGGCGGTTTTGGTGATCGGACTGGCCTCAATGGCCGTACTCTCCTCTAGACTCCTGCCGGGAATGCGGATCTGTAGATGAGGGTTAAAGCAGGCCCTCTTTGGCGCTGGCGTGCCAGATTTGGATCACATTTGGATTAACGATAATATACCAAGACCACGGCATACATTCATGAATAAACGACTGGCGGCTATTGGGGCCGTCGTGATACTCGGGGCAATTGCCACAGCTGTGCTGTCGCCTTACTTTACAGAATCAACTGTGGATGAGGCACTGCCAGAAGGCGTAATTGTTCCGCCAACAATAGAGCCCAAAGACAGTATGACAGAAGACGACGCCATGGTGGATGACGCTATGAAGGACGACGATGCCATGATGGACGATACTATGAAGGACGACGACGCCATGATGGACGATACTATGAAGGACGACGACGCCATGATGGACGATACTATGAAGGACGACGACGCCATGATGGACGATACTATGAAGGACGACGACGCCATGATGGATGACATGGTGGAGACTCCTACGAGCTATGCCGGAACATTTGTCGGGGTTGGAGACGGAATCCATCATGCGGAAGGCAACGCATATGCACTCCCATTGGAGGACGGCGGTAACGTACTGAGAATGGAGAACTTCCGGACAACCAACGGTCCTGACCTGTTTGTCTATCTGGCAACTGACAAGGGGGCGTCGGAGTTTATCAACCTGGGAGTGCTCAAGGCAAGCATGGGAAACCAGAACTACGACATACCAGAAGGCACGGATCTTGACAAATACGATACTGTGCTGATCTGGTGCAGGGCATTCTCTTTGTACTTTGGAAGTGCAGAGTTGTCCCTCCAGTAATTTTTTTTTAATCTATTAGATCGCGGCCCGTGCGGAGCGCGTTCTACATTCGGCCGCCGGGATGCGCATCCGGAGGCGCCTTCATCGGGTGCGGGGATCTCGTACGGGACCGCATCGTGCCAAGACGAGTTCCCTTAATGCGTGTATTTGCGTCCAAAGTGTGCGGCTATTCTGATACCGCGTCCGTGATCGCATCAAGGGCACCTGGAACCGTGTGCACCTGTGCCGTGGTGCCCTGAACGCCATGCTCTGCCAGCTCGTCGGCCGTAAATGGGCCGATGGAGACCACCTTCATGCCCTTTAGTCCCTCTAGCAGAGCCTCCTTGCCGTGATGCCTCTGCATTATCTCAAAGAACCCGCGCACCGAGGACGCGCTGGTGAATATGATTCCGTCCACGGCCGACTGCAGAAACAGCTGCGCAAAGTCGTCCCAGTCAGGCGTGTCAGCCACCGCGCGCACGTCATACATGTGGAGTTCCTTGACGTCAAGTCCGATCTTCTGTAGCAGATCCCTGAGGAACGGTGTGGATGCGCTGCTCCGGGGCACCAGCGCCTTTCTTCCTACGGCTCCCAGCCTTGTGAGCACCTCGCCCACGCCCACAGAGGAGAATGTCCGCGCCGGCATGTTGTTGGTCTTAATTCCGTGTTTTTGCAGTGCGGCCCGGGTCGCCGGACCTACGGCAACTACCGTGGTGTTTGCTATTGCCAGCTGCAACCGGGGCTTGTCCTTGGCCGAGTCAAAGAGGAGCCTTACCGCCTTCGAGCTCATAAAGATGCAGTAGTCAGGATCGTACTGCTGCATTTGATCCAGAAACTCGTCTGCTATGTCGGGGCTTCTTGCCACCAGCTGGATTGTGGGCAGAGCAATCGGCCTTGCCCCGCGCTTCTCTGCCATGGCGATAAACTCCTTTGCGTCGTCCTTCGAGCGGGTTATTGCGATGGTCTTTTTGTGCAGCATGTCTACCTCCACCCTATCTCTTTTGACAGATCGACCACCTTTCCTATTATAATGTTGGTTGGCGGGGTGATGCCACTCTTCCCTACCACATCTGCTATGTCCGTGAGGTCCCCCGTAACCATCCTGTGCAGTGGCGTGGTGCCGTTCTGGATTACGGCCACCGGGGTCTTGGGATCCATGCCACCCTGAACCAGCTGACGGCAGATCTCCCCGATGCGGGACAGTCCCATCATGACCACTATGGTGTCCACAGATCCTGCCAGCGCCTCCCACTTTACCGCCTCCTCGCCCTTTGTGGGGTCTTCGTGGCCCGTAACGAATGCCACCGACGAGGCGTACTGCCTGTGGGTCAATGGAATCCCCGAGTATGCGGCGGATCCGATTCCAGACGTGATCCCGGGTATGATCTCGTATCTGATCTTGTGCGCCTGCAGGTACTCGGCCTCTTCGCCTCCCCTTCCAAAGATCGTCGGATCCCCGCCCTTGAGGCGCACCACGTCCCTTCCGGCCTCTGCATGGTGCACCATCAGCCTGTTTGTGGCATCCTGGTGGGTGGTGTCATCGCCCACTGCCCTGCCCACGTAGATCTTCTGTGCACCATCCCTGGCCATCGCGAGTATCTCCTTGTTTACCAGCCTGTCGTAGAGTATGACATCTGCCTTTTGAACCAGCTCGGCTGCGCGCAGCGTGATCAGTCCGGCATCGCCCGGTCCTGCGCCCGCAATGTACACCGTTCCGGTCATCTGTTCCACATCTCCAAGCTCTCTCTCCAGCCGGATGCCAGCGCCTCCACACCCTGCCGCCGGAGATCCTGCGCGGTACGGTCCGCCAGATCCCGCGGAGCCCGGCGATCCCCTGCGATCCTGGCTACGGCAGACTTCTTGCCGTCAGCAGAGAATGCCGCCGCCCTCAGGGTCATTGTGGGGCCATCCACACTGGCATGCGCGCCCAAGGGAAACCGGCATCCGGACTCGACGTAGCCTGACAGGGCCCTCTCTGCCTCTGCCTCGAGCCTCGAGTCCGCATCCTCTATTCCCTTTAGCAGTGTGATGAGACCGTGGTCGTCGGCCCGAGACACCACGGCTAGGGAACCCTGGCCCGGCGACGGCACAAACTCGTCCTCCGGCAATGCGGCAGATATTACGTCCAGGTTCAGCCTGGAGATTCCCGCCTGTGCCAGCACTATGCCGTGGTAGTTCGCTCCGTCAATCTTTGCTATCCGCGTCTCAATGTTTCCACGGATGGGCCTTACCCCCACATCGGGCCTGCTCCTCCTTATCTGGACCGCCCGCCGCAGGCTGCTAGTTCCGATTATGGATCCCCGTGGCAGCGACTGCAGGGACGAGCCGTCTCCGGTGATCAGGACATCTCTTGCTGACTCCCTTTTTGGGACGCAGGCCAGCGTCAGCCCGTCGGGAAGCTGCGAGGGCACGTCCTTGAGGCTGTGCACCGCAAAGTCCACCCTGCTCTGCGCCACTGCTGCATCTACCTCCCTCTCAAAGATCCCTTTCTGATCCATGGCAAAGAGGGGGCGCGGATCTCCGTCGCCGGTGGTGCGAATTGATTGAATCTGAAACGTTGCCCCGGGGTCTGACTCTGCCAGCCGGTCTGCAACCCACCGGGTCTGCGCCATGGAGAGCCGGCTGCCCCGCGTTCCGATTGTATACCTCAATCTCTTATCGCTCCGAGAGCCAGACGGTAGGCGTCAAGGACATGATCCAGATCCTCCCCACTGTGGGCGCTGGACAGAAACACCACCTCAAACTGCGAGGGCGCCACAAAGACGCCGTTTTTGAGCAGCTCCGCAAAGAGTCTTCCGAATCTGGCGGCATCGGATCTCTTGGCAGAGTCATAATCTGTGACGGGCTCAGACGTAAAGAAGATCTGCATCATGGACGAAAGGTGGTTTATCTGGGCGTCAATGCCCATGTCTGATGCCAGGTCAGCTACTGCGCGGGACAGGCCGGCGCACTGCAGCTCCAGATGCGGGTATATCTGATCCTTGATCCGGTTTATCGTCCTAACGGAACTGATGGCGGCACTTACCGCAACGGGGTTTCCGGCAAACGTGCTTGCCTGGTAGACCCTCCCACCAGGGGTCAGGTTGTCCATGATCTCGCGCCTTCCGCCAACTGCCGCAATGGCAAAACCGCCGCCCAGCGCCTTTGCAAGGGTTGTGATGTCTGGCTTCACGCCGTAGTGCTGCTGCGCCCCTCCCGGGGAGACGCGAAACCCCGTCACCACCTCGTCAAAGATCAGCGGGATATCGTTCTTTTGCGTGATCCTTCTTACCTGCTGCAGAAAGCCATCCTGCGGCAGTATCAGTCCCATGTTTGCCATTACCGGCTCGATTATCACCCCAGCGACATCCCCGTCCTGTCTGATCGTCTCTTCCAGGCCTGACGGGTCGTTGTACCTTGCCACCAGCGTGTTCTGCGACACCTCCTCCAGGCCTCCTTCGGATGTGGAGATCCCGTGGTGGGCCTGGCCGGATCCCGCACTGACCAGAACCGAGTCGTGGGCCCCGTGGTAGCCCCCCTCGAACTTGATTATCTTTCTTCTCTTTGTGAATCCCCGAGCCAGTCGTATGGCAGTCATAGTGGCCTCAGAGCCCGTATTTACCAGCCTTACCTTGTCCATCGACGGAAAGTTTCCGGTGATGAGCTCCGCCAGATCTGTCTCCTCGCTGGTGGGCGAGCAGTACAGGGTGCCCCGCAGGAGCTGCTCTGACACCGCAGAGATGATCTCCTGCCTCCGGTGCCCCAGCAGCAGAGCCCCGTAGCCGCAGCAGAGGTCCGTAAGTCGGTTCCCGTCGACATCCCAGATGTATGCTCCCTGGGATCTTGTAATGAATACTGGGTGCGGCTCAAAGTACCTGACCGGGCTGTTTACGCCGGAGGGTATGGTCTTGCATGCTCGGTCAAATAGATCCCGGGATCTGGACGGTCTGGGTTGTTCCTGCACCATCACATCTGTCCGGCAGTACCCAATTATCAGTGTTGACCATGCGCGCCTAGGTGTGGGGCAGCCTGCCACATCGGATCGGGCGTGCAGGCCGGTCCTGGCACACAGATACATGTCCGGTCTTGGCCCCGTGTCCACGCACGGCGGATCGTCCTACCTACTGGCTCGGCTGATGGCGCGCACCCTCTTGTATATGGCCGCCGTAACCGCAGCACCCACAAGGGGGGCCGTCAGGTACAGCCATATGTTATCAAAGATGCCCGTGACTATAGCTGGTGACAGCGAGCGGATCGGGTTCATCGACGCACCTGATATCGGCGCCAGGAAGAGAACGTCAAGCGCCACGATTCCGCCGACAACGGATGCTACCACGGCCGCATGAGCCATGCGGAGGCTGACGATAAGCAGGATTCCACCCATCAGGAAGACGGTTGCTGCCACCTCTGTCCCAAAGACCAGCGGGGCCCCGTACATGTAGTCCGGGGAGTTGAGGCCCAGGCTGGCGTGTTCCCCTATGGTGTACTTTACAAAAAGACTTCCGGATACGGCCCCGATTGCCTGGGCCGCGAGATACAGCGGGATTCTTTCCTTCCGTATGTGCCCTGACAGCGCAAAACCGATGGTTATTGCCGGGTTAAAGTGCGCCATCGAGTATCTTCCAAATATGAACACCACGATGAACAGGCCGACAAAGTGCATTGCCGCGATAAACGGCAGGCCCAGAACTGATCCCACGCTCCCATCATACACTATGGATCCCGTGGCTGCCACCAGCAGGCCGAATGTTCCCACCACCTCTGCCGCAAAGATGACTGCGCTACTGCTCTCGCTCACACCCAAGCTCGTCTGCCAGCTCCCTTATCTTTGACTCGATATGATCGCGGATCTCCCTTACCTCTTCCAGCGCCCTTCCCTTGGGATCTGGAATCTGCCAGTCCCTGATGTTTTTGGCGAACAGTGCGGGGCATGTATCGTGGTCCACGCATCCCATGTTTATCACCGTCGAACCGTCGATCATGTCCTGAGTGAGGTGCTTTGGGGTATTGCCCCTGATGTCGATTCTAACCTCGCCCATGGCATCTGCCACCACAGGATTTACTGTGCTACGGGGCACCGTTCCGGCGCTTGCGGCGCAAATATGCGGGGCATGCCTGCGGAGGAATGCCTCAGCCATCTGACTCCTCCCTGCATTCTCCACACACACAAACAGGATCCGTGCCACCTTGACCACAGATATGACCATTTTTTTCATGATTAAAGTCTGTTCTACTGGTTCTATGGTGTGTATGTGTGCCTAGTCAGACCGCTGCACTTGTTCCTGCTGCAGTGGCAGGCGTGGTGATTCGCGTCTACTGGGGCAGGTTTGTGCAGTTGTGTAAGGCCGCCTGCCAACCGATCCGGATCACAGTGTCATGCCGTGTGGGCTTTCGCGGCTGGCCATAATGCCGCCCGAAACTTTTGGTATGTGGACCAGAGTCATTTGGTTATGCTCGCGAGCCTCAATATTCTGTAGATCGGCTCTTTACGGTTCCACCGGAAGCTCCAATCACACACTGCGGTTTACGTGCTGCCGGATCCTGTATTTTTGCCATATCCTGGCATGGCATGTGATCACGGGCAATCCATCTCCAACTCAAACTTTCAGCAAGCAATTGTGCATGACATCTAACACAAAACCCGTATTGTTTTGCCAAAACCTATGACTGTTACCAGGATGTGCGCAGGCAGTTCCGCATGGAGGAATCCCGTGTATAACATGCTGCGATCCGGCCGGTTTTTTTTAAAATAAAAAACTCTATAATTTTTACAAATCTGACAATTATGCCCAATCTATTTTATGGATTTATTTCCGGTAATGTGGTTGTCTGCGAATGTGGCAAACCATTTAATTACTTTGACAATAATTGCTGTTTATGCGAGAAGTTGATTCTGTAAGAAAAGTAAGATCCACAGAGAACAAAAACATCAGCAAAGCAAAGACGGGTGTCAAAGCAGCCAAGCGATCACTGCGCGCAGCCAAGGAAAAAGTAAAAGCCGCCGAGTCCCGACTGAAGAAGACTCAGAGGACTGCCAAAAGGAGCATAGTGCAGGCCAAAAAAGATGCCTTGAAGGATGCAGCGCGGACCAAAAAAGCGGCCAAGGCGGCAAGGCGTACAGCAAAAAAGGCGCCCGACACTACACGAACGACAAGAGCAAAGAAGGCGACCGCCGCCACAAAACCAACAGTGGTAAAGCGTCCAGCACCGCAGAAAACACCAGAAGATCAAAGTACGTAGTAGAGAACGCTATCTACTAAACTCCTACGGAAATTTGATCAGGGACAGTGTGCAACGCTGGACTCTGACTTTTTTAATTTTGGCTTATTTTAAAAACACGGCAATGTGTCTTTGTCTGGTATTCGCGGCGTCCCGACTTTTAGCAGCTCATGATCCAAAAGAGATCTTTTTTGAATGGGGCAGTCCGGATCGCGCTGGCAGGATACAGATCCGTGATTAGTGGGTGTGATCTGTCGGTGATTAAAAAGCGAAAAATATAAAATCTGACATCGAAGAGATGCTAAGGATCTGCTGTGATGGAATGGTCGTAACTGAAAAGACGACTGCTGCCAGATGTGAAAAATGCCGTGCGTGTCTGACGGCGGCATTCGGATGAGAGCGCAAACAGTATGCCGATAGAGCCTGTCGGCCCAGCGAAGACAGGGCAGATACTTGCGAACCTGCTTCCGGATTGCCGCATATCTGGCATGGCAGGTTTCGGAGTAGGTGCCCGCGTACAGCAGAGTCTCTGACGGCGCACGGTGTCTAGAGCCTGGGCGCTTTGGCTGCAAAACTGACAAACTTGCGATATGCCAGCTGGCGCCTTCGAGTCTCGGAGGCAATGACCTTGGATAGGGCCTGGCGCTGCTCGGTGCCCTTGAGGAACTCGATCATGACATCGCAGTCATGTACGGCGCCCAGAAGATCCTGCATGCGTCGAAGTGTCTCTAACGCGCTGCCCGGCGCGTCGCCGGCTATGATCTCAAGCAGGTACCGCAGCTTCTTGCATCTCACTCTCAACCGGTGCATCTCCTTGACGCGTCCCCTGTCTGCCACCACAACGGGGAGCAGCTCCTCTATGCTGCCAAAGAGTGGAATGATCAGCCTTCTGAACCTTCTCTCCAGCTTGCCTGCCGGCACCTCCTTTTGCGGGATCACCGGCTCGCGCAGGCGCTCCTGAACGGCGGCCAGCCTACTGACCTCCTCAAGACAGACGCGCCTCTCCTCTCTCATCTGCTCCAGCAGCTCCCTGACTGCTGCATCCGGCTCGAACCTCTTCAGCCTCATCATCATGACATCAAGATCGCGAACCCTGTTGCTCATCTTGAAGAGCCTTTTGTAGAGCGTCACAAACCTTTTGGTTCTGCCATTGCGGCGCAACCTGCCTGGCAGCACCGCGTGGGACGCGCTCAGCCGCCGCACGGCAGTGCGGAGGTCGTGGGTGCTCTTCTCTCCGGGATCTGCCAAGTGCCTCTTCAACCTGCGTGTGGCGCGCTTGATGCTCCGCTCATGATTCGCCAAAAACGCGTCGGCAGAGATTTTGTACTTCATCAGCCATACTTGTCAAGAAACGTGTTGATTCGCTTCTGGAGCATCTCATCAACCCGCTCTATCTCCAGCTGGCCGTCAATATGACGCAGGCCGTACTTGTCCCTCATTATCTCAAACTCCTTTGCCATCTTCTTTTGGTACATGATGAACGACTCGAACATGTCGTCTGAGAGCGCCATGTCGGCTCCCGACTCGTAGTGATCCAGGGAGCGGTGCTTTTGAAAGACCCGGTGCACCAGCTTGTAGGGATCCACATCGATGTAAAATACCATGTCCGGCACCATGGCAAAGCTGTACAGGTCGTGGGACCAGGATCTCGGGATTCCCCGGACGGTATTTCTTGCCATCAGGGTGTAGATGTATCTGTCCGATAGGACCACATACCCTGCCTGTAGCGCCGGGATTATCTTGTGCTCCAGCTGGTCTGCAAAGTCGGCTGCGTAGTACAGCGCTAGGGTTCTCTTTCCGAGGGACGTGTTTCTCTTTGCCTCCAGGATTCCACGGCTTATGAGCTCAGATCTCTTCAGGCCTGTGTTGAGTACCGCATACCCGTTGGCCTCTAGGTTTGCCGTAATGAGTTCGATCTGTGTGCTCCGGCCCGACGCGTCGGGGCCCTCGATCACAATCAGCCTCCCCCTGATCTCCAGATCGTGCAGGTACGGTATGCCGTCCTTTACCGAGTCGCCGTACCACCGTATCGGCCGGGCGTGCATCTCATGCGTCTCTTTCATGTTGCACCTCCGCGATCCGCTCTGGAATGCCGCCGGGTATCACCTCTTCCATCTTTGCGCGCATTATGTCCTGCTGCTCCTTGATCCCCATGGTTGCATCAATTATGGTGAACCCTTCGCTCTCCACCATGGACTCGTACTGCTCGATAATCCTGCTCTGAAATATTCGGTAGCTCTCATAGGGATCCTTGCTTAGGCCCATGTCCATTCCGGCCTCGTAATACTTGAGCTTCGGCCTTCCCGCCAGAACCCTGTCCAGGGCCACATCTATCGGAACGCGAAAGTAAAACGCAATGTCGGGCTTTAGCGCAAAGCTGTACACCTTCCTTACCCATCGGGGATTGCATCCTCGGGTAACGTCCCTGGCAAAGGCGGTATAGGCATATCTGTCGGCCAGCACAAAGTAGCCGGCCCTGAGCAGCGGCATGATGTTTCTCTCAAACCTGTCGGCAAAGTCGGTTGCGTGCAACAGGCTAAATGTGGTGGGAGTGAGGGTGGCCTTCTTCTTGCCCCGGGAGGTTATCTCCTTTACCATCTCCGACGAGTTCCATTCCGTGAGAAACACCTCCAGATTGTTGTAGCTGAGCCACTTTTCAAGCAGGTGGATCTGGGTGGACTTGCCGGAGCCGTCGATTCCCTCGACTACCACCAGCTTGCCTGGTATCTTGCGGCCGCGGTTCTGTTTCAGTGACTGGTACCTCAACTTCCTCTGTCGCACCCACTTGAGTCCATGATCGGTATTGCTATTTTCCATATTTAGGTTCTTTTGTAGACCCGGCCCGGCGAATGCGGCAGGGCGGGAGCCTGATCCATACTCAACAGTAATATTTGTCCGGTGTGTACATGCAGTGGGAATTATGATTACCGTACTTGCCGGTGGTACCGGTTCTGTCAAGATTGTCCGTGGCCTGGCGTCGCAGGAGAGCAACATTAACGTGATCAGCAACGTCGGGGACAACTACTGGCTGTATGGGATGTACGTGTGTCCCGATATAGACACCATAATCTACGGCCTGGCAGACATCCTAGATGTCGAGAGGGGATGGGGAATTAAAAAGGACACTGTCAACTTTCTGAGGCAGATGGAGGTGTTTGGCGAGGATACGTGGTTTAGGATCGGCGACAGGGATGCGGCAACCCACCTGATTCGAACCAACATGCTCAAGAACGGGAAGAACCTCAGGGAGATTACCAAGTGGATGTGTGAAAAGTTCGCCGTAAGCGCCAAGGTAATTCCGGTGACCGATAACAATGTGGAAACCCGAATCACAACCAAGCGGGGGGATCTTCACCTGCAGGAACACTGGGTCAAGTACCGCGGCAAGGACAAGGTGGAGGGAATCCAGTACGTTGGCGTGGACAAGGCAAGGCCCAACCCCGAGGTCATCAGTGCAATCCATGACGCAGAATTGGTGGTGCTGGCGCCGGCAAACCCGCTGACCAGCATCGGGCCCATGCTGCAGATCAAGGGAATAAGAAAGGAGCTCTCCAAGAAGAAGAGAAAGGTCGTCGCCATAAGCCCGCTGATTGGAAACAAGTCCATCAGCGGACCCGCCGCAAGCTATATGGAGGCGGCAGGCATCGAGGTCAGCCCCTACGGCCTGGCCCAAATGTACTCTGACGTGTGTGGAAATATTGTAATCGACACCAAGGACAAGATGCTCTCAAAGAAGATTCAGAGCATGGACATTCGGGTATTTGAGACGAAGATAACCATGAGGAACAAGCAGGCCGAAGATGCCTTGGCATCCTTTATCATAAAACAAGTCCGCTCATAGCTTGAATCTGTCTGCCATTATTCCGGTCAAGAGCTTTGCCAAGGCCAAGTCGCGCCTGGACATAGACAGGGAGAGGAAGGAGGAGATCTGCAGGCTCATGCTAAGGGAGGTTCTGCGGACGCTGTCCGCATCGGCCAGAGTCGACGAGACGGTTGTGGTCTCCGGTGACAGGGAGGTGCACCATGTTGCAGCAGAGTTCGGGGCGGTTCGGATTGTCGATGAGAGCGAGAGCGGCGTAAACAATGCGGTGTCTCTGGCAGACAGGTACCTGCTGAAGAACGGCACTGACGCCTCCATCGTCCTGCCTCAAGATATCCCGTTCATCAAAAGCCAGGACATCGACTTTCTGCTGGGCTTTCAGTCTCCACCTAGGTTCTCCCTGATCGTTCCCTCACGAAAGTTTGACGGGACAAACGCGCTGGTAAGAATGCCAGTTGATCTGATGGATACCCACTACGACGAGGACAGCTACCGCATACACCTGAGCGTCGGAAGGACAAAAACCACCAGCACCTCCTTGGTGTTTGTCAAGAGAATAATGATAGACATAGACACTGTGGAAGATCTGCAATTTGCAGTGGCCAGGAATGAAAAACCAGCCCTGTGCGAAGAGATCAGGCGCATCATGGAGTGATGGCGCCTCCGCGCCCTCTTGCGACTCTGGCAACGGATCAGCACGCGATCGTGTCTGCCACCCATCTGGGGGCAAGAAAGCGCATTCCGAGGGGTTCTCTGTGCCTGATTCGGCGCAGCAGGCAATCCTGTGCGCAGATCGGCTAAGCAATAGTTAAATATGAGTGCATAGTAATAGTTAAATATAAGATTAAGAGGATGATGGAACTGACAGTCAATAGATCGACAAAGGATAGATGTCCTAGGTGCGCGCAAGGCGGCATACTATCTGACACTACCACCGGCGAAAACTTTTGTGACAAGTGCGGATTTGTGCTGTCAGACAAGGCGGCAGCAAGCGGCCCCGAGTGGCGCTCGTTCTCCAAGGATGACGGAACAGACAGGGCGCGGGCCGGAACCCCGACGTCTCTGGCGATGCACGACATGGGGCTGGCAACGGTAATCGGGCACACCGACAAGGACGCAACGGGAAAACCGCTCTCTGCAAGCATGCGCAGCACCATCGAGCGGCTGCGCACGTGGGATAATCGAACACAGGTTCACGAGCCCATTGATCGGAACTACAGGCAGGCATTCTCGGAGCTTGACAGGCTAAAGGACAAGCTGGCAGTGGGCGACGCGGTGATCGAGAAGGCGGCGTACATCTACAGAAAGGCACTGGAGAAGGGCCTGGTCCGCGGGAGATCAATCTCGGCGCTGATCGCATCGGCACTGTACGCGGCATGCCGTGACACCCAGACCCCAAGGACGCTTAAGGATATCGGCATCGCAAGCAACGTCAAGAGAAAGGATATCACGCGATGCTACAGGCTGCTTCTGCTGGAGCTTGGCCTGAAGATGCCGGTGGTGGATCCGGTAAACTGCATAGCCAGGATTGCCAGTAAGACCGGCCTCTCAGAGAAGACAAAGAGGGACGCAACCAAGATCTTAAAGACCGCCGAGGAGAGCAAGATCTCCTCGGGCAAGGATCCCATGGGTCTGGCGGCCGCTGCCCTGTATGTGGCCTGCGTTGCAAACGGGGAGAACAAGACCCAGCGCGATGTGGCAGAGGCGGCAGGGGTGACCGAGGTTACCATAAGAAACAGGTACAAGGGCCTCAAGGTATCTCTGGATCTGTAGCCGTGTACAAAGGCCGTCGCTAGAGCCAAATCTCAAGGTACCGATAGATCCGTTGCCATGCGCCCGCTGCGGGAGCGATGCCACGTCGTGACGATGACCAGAAGCGAGAACGCCCCGGTTGCCAGGAACAGTATCTCCAGCGAGCCCATCAGGGGGTGGGCAAACGCCTGCTCCACTGACAGCTCCGCTGCGTGTGCAACAAAGTATGCGTATGTGAAGATAAAGTAGTTGGTGGCCCAGTGAATCAGAATCGCCGGCAGTAGGCCGTACCTCAGGTACACCCAGCCGATGATCATGCCGCTGGCAGCCGCCTGCGCGAACTTTCCCGTTGTCCAGGGCTCCCCCAGGAGTATGTGGGCGAGGCCAAAGAGTACGCTTGTGCCCACCACAAGCCATATTGCCCGTTTGTAGTCGTCGGGATGCAGGTTTGTGCCGGGTCTCCACAGCGACCTGAGGAAGTGCACAGCCGACATCCTGTGCGAGTATGCCAGGTATAGCGGAAGCCCAACGAGCAGCACCCGGAACCCCAGCTCCTCCAGAATGGGCGAGCTGGTCACGTTGACAAACTGCAGCAGGTCGTCTCCTGTCTCCGGTGGCTCGGTGGCGATGCCAAACCCGTCCTGGACAAACGTGATTGCCACGGAGACGACAACTACGATCGAGAACCACTTGATTACCGAGGCCGCATAGCTGCCGCCTGATGACATCCTTCCTTCCATTACTGCAGGAAGGATGAACTTGATCAGGCTCTTTTTTGGTCCCAGCATCGATACGGCAAGCAGGATAACATATACTGACCACATCACGATGAATAGGTCGCCCAGCTCCAGTCCCGACGGGGAGCCAAATCCCGCCTCTGCTAGGAGCAGATCCAGGCCGCGGAATGGAAACTCGGAGCTGAGCCCGTCTCCCACATCCAGGTGAAACACTATGTACGGACCCAGTGGCAGGGAGATCAGCATCAGTATGAACACTAGGGAGACTAGCGCCGCGTAGAGGATTCCGACTACGTGAAGTGCCCTGTCGTATCTGGAGTCCAATCTAGTGGAGCTCTATGGACGACTCTGAGAAGCCCAGATTTATCAGCGTCTCGCTGATGGTGTCCCGGTGATCTCCCTGCAAAAAGATGTAGCCATCCTTGGCGGTTCCGCCGCAGGCATACTTGTTCTTCAGCTCCTTGGCGACACCTTCAAGGTTGTTGAGTTTGGGATCCAAACCCTCGATCATGGTGCCCTTCTTTCTAAAGCGACGGGTCTCCAAGCGGATTATGATCTTTGTACTATCCTTAGCAAGATCCTCGCAGGCGCACAGATCTTCTGGAAGGCCACAGGTGTTACAGATAACTGCCATTCGTTCTGATTCATCTTCATGGGACATACTATTAAGCCTTGTCTGGCGTGCGGCCCTGGTTCGTGGCTGGATTACATCCGGGGTTTTGCGCCTGGTTCGGCGCGACTGGCAGTATCATACCGTGTGGGAATCACGTGCCTGGGATCGCGCCGCCGCGACTGCACGGGTTGGTTTTTTACGAAGGTGCGCACACGGCAACACATGGCACACGGGCTAGAGAAACGGGCAGCCGAGATGCTCCTGAACGGGGCCACGCTGCTTGCTGAACCGTGTCCCTACTGTAGCGGCGTGAGGGTGATGAAGAGCGGGAGCGCCCTGTGTACCAGCTGCGGCGCCGAGCCGGTACGGGAGGCGCGTGCTGAACCACGCCCTATCGACGCGCTGCAGTCAAAGCTGCAGGCACTGACTGGGGAGCTGGCGACCGAGGAAGATCACCAAAGGCAGCAGGAGATTCTAAGATCCATCCGATCCCTCATAGATGCCATGGAGCGGCTCAAGGGCAAATCCTCGGGCCCCGATCCACCAAATCACGGCAGCCACACCGGGTGACGCACCCAACCCACCACCGCAGGATCTGGGCGCAGGACAGGCGGGGTTTTGTGCACGATCGATTGTGTCCTGTCTTGTCTTGTCATGGATCGCATCTCGTGCCGTACCGGCATGCAGTCTGTTCCAGTGCCTGCCCCACGGCACCGCGTCATGTCGGCCCGCTGCCGACCGCAAGCCAGGCAGCATTCAGTCCGAACCGGATCGCAGCCAACTAGGAAGGCCGTCTTGCCTCGGGTGCCGTAGCCGGACAATTCTTGGGAAGCCGGCGGGCCCATGCCTTATGGCCTCGCAGGTATGCGGAATCCCCCTGTTCGTGGGGGATCTTCACGCGCTAGTCCACCGCGGCTATCTGGGTATTCTTCTTGCGCGGATCGACTCCCGCATAGATCATGCCCCACCTTCTGCGATAGATGGCGATTTTGTTTGTAGCCCTCTTCTGCCTTGTCTCCACTGCTTGCCTTCCCGGCGGCCGGCCCCGGGAGCGGCTGTCCAATGACTGCTATCTTCTGAATGCACTGATCGACGCACGCAAGATTACGGCATGCGGCAGCGCTCTGCCCGTAGGCGCATGCGTTGCCCCGGATACTTTTCACAACAAGCGTACGGCAGAAGACATGCGCGTATTGTCCGTAGGGGTACGACCTGCAGCCTAGACGACCGGTTGCCGACTTGCGCCGGATTGTCAAGAGAATCATAATTCTGCATGCCCATCAGTACACGGGCCGAGAATTGCATGCGGTAATGAGAATTTCGGCCGGCTCCCAATAACGTAATGGCCTATCCCAAAAGAATTGATAAAAAATAGCTACAAATGCATTGCTACTCGTCTACAGGCGTGAGAGCGACAGTCCTGCCTACTATTGCGCCGTCTTCGTCGGTCTCATCGGTTGACGCAAGGATGGTTGGAAACTCACTCCCATCCTTTCTTCGCACCCATATCTTGGACTTGCTGTGGTATCCGGCTCTCCAATTCTCCATGTTTGCATGCAGGTTACCTTTGCTTCTGAACGCTGTGTGTTCATAGAGGCTGATTCCGATGACTTCGTCTTTTCTATAACCCAGATTATCCAGATATGACTGGCTACAGTCTATTATTATGCCCATGTAGTCCACAGATCTGCGCAGGATGTCATGATCCTCGTAGCTGTCCCTCGCGCCGACATTGTACAGGCGCTGCAACTTCCCGATGGCATCTACCTCCCTCATATCCGTGTCTACTCCAACTATGTCGTCTCCCACGTATCTGTTTCTAAGGGTTCGTATCACATCGACAGCTTCTCCGCTCTTTGTCACTAGCTGCACATGCATGGAGACGCTTGTCGAGTGCGTCTCGCGCCACTTAGCAAAAAGGGCCCTCAGCTCTTCACGGGTTTCGCTAGTCGAGTGATCGAATACGGAGGAACCGATTGTCTCATCCATGGTGTATCCCAGTCTGTCTATGTAGTGCTGATTACAGTCTCGAATTGTGCCGTCCCAATCTACGGAGCGGTACAGTATGGGTATTGTTGGTTTTATGCACGTCACTGTGCCGCACTGCTAATATCTTCTTTATAAATTGGTCAATGAACCATGCCCCCCTGTGGAATACGAAAGGTATGGCGACGATCATAAGTTTGTGCAAAACAATGCTGCCTTTCCGTTGACGGGTTCGTGTATGCCCAAAGCAAGTCTCGCGGTAGGTCTTGTGCTCTGCCTCTATTATGGTGCAGACCACGGCCACGGCCTTGGAGGATATGCCGTCAAGGTCTGGCTTGACAAGATAAGAATCACCCAGATCCTTCATACTCTTCGGAATCGTGTTCAAGATGGGGCCGAGCATGCGCTGTTGAGTCAAGTCGCATTGTCGTTGATCGCGTTTCCTTGACGTCGCTAGGCGAGGCCGCGCTCAACGGTTCAATACGCCTTGTGGTTCTATTGTACAGAAATTATGCCGCGCGCCAAGAGTCCGGTGTACTGTCCAAGAATATTTTACGCTGCACAAGTCCAGGCACCCCACGCCAATGCGCCTGACCGACAAGGCCATCCGATGCGCCATCAGTCAGCTGGAGAAGGGCAAAGGCACCAAGGCGGTCGCAGAAGAGATCAACGTCACCCAGAGGCATGTGCAACGGCTGTGGGCCGAATTCAACAGGATCGGTTCGATCCATGTCCAGCAGCCTGCAGGACTGCCAGCAGATCTCCCACCGTCCTACGAGGAAATCAATATGGCATTAGACGTTCACGGGCGCAAGCCGAAAGGTGTGCTACGGACAGCCAAGGGGCTTCGGGAGGAGGGACACGATATAATCTACTCTCGCGTATACCAGATAATGAAGCCCAACGGCTTAGTCATCGGCTTCCCGGCAAAGTCGAGGAAGCGCAAGCGGGTCAGGTACGAGCGCCTGTACTCGAATGCCATGTGGCATACTGACTGGCATGTGATGAAGAACCAGCGCATGAAGGATCTGAACCTGATCACGTATCTTGATGATGCCTCCAGGTGCGTTACGGGCGCGGCGTTGTTCAAGGAGGCCACCTCAGAGAACACGGTGGCGGTGCTCCGGCAGGCCGTCGGCAGGTTCGGCGTGCCGGCGACCATCCTGTCTGACAACGGCTCGTGCTTCGTCGGCAGGGGCGGCCACAAGAAGCAGACAGGCACCTGGACTCCGACCCTCTGAGAACGAGCTGCTGAACCACAACATGGGGCTGATCGATTCAAGACCATATCGCCCGCAGACCAACGGAAAACTGGAGAGGTTCCACAGGAGCATCGAGGAGGAAATATGGCACTACGATGGTCTGGACGACTATGTCGAGTACTACACCGACAGGCTACACTTTTCACTGGACACCGACAACTACGAGACGCCGCTGATGGCACTCCGCAACAAGGGGGCGATCGACTAGATAAGACAGCAAAATTCCAGATGGATGGAAGCAGATATCGATGACCAACGGCCCAGACAGAGGGCTACATGATTTTCATATACTACAAATACGCCTTGTGGTCTGAAGACGAAAACATGACGATATGTCCCTGTGGGACATGGCCGACAGCACCGCGCCAATTTATAAATTTGAACTAGTGTCTTCTGTCCGTGGGAGCAAGCAGGCTCGGGGAGGAGCTGACCGGATTAATCTCAGGCAGCGTGCAGTGGAGCAGGGAGGTGGTCGACGGCTATTCGGTCGACTCTAGCTCGTACAGAATCAGGCCCAAGGTGGTCGTCTTTCCAAAAGACAGGCAGGACATAATCAGGACGGTAAAATTTGCCGCCAGAAACAGGATTAGCATCACACCACGCGGCGGCGGAACCGGATTGGTCGGAGGCGGAATTGGGAACGGAATCGTACTAAACCTCATGGGAATAAAAGGGATTGCCACTGGAAGAGACCACGTTACGGTGGGTGCTGGAACGCTAAAGGGAGAGCTGGACAGGTTTCTGACGAGGCATAAAAAATTTCTCAGTCCGAATCCTTCCGTTGGCCCGTACTGCACACTGGGCGGAATGATTGCCACCAATGCAAGCGGCACCTTGGCAATAAAGTATGGATCCATCGTCGATAATATTTTGGAGATCGAGTTCATAGACGGTTGCGGAAACCTGCAAAAGTTTCCTGGCAGATCGCGCATGTCGTCCAAGATTTTGGACATTGTAGAGGGCATCAACCGAGAAAAATTTCCCAAAGTGATAAAAAACTCGTGTGGATACAGGATGGATGCGGTGTCATCAGTCAACAACGTGCATAAGATTTTGGCTGGATCGGAGGGGACACTCGGCATTATCGTCTCGGCAAGGCTGAAAGTCCATGCGATACCGGCAGGCCGTAGCCTGTCGGTCTACGGATACGAGTCGCTCTATGACGCTGCAGACGACTGCAAAAAAATCAACCGGATAAATCCCGCCGCCTTGGAACTTGTCGATGGTGCGATGATGAGAAACGTTATGAGCTCCATCCCAGAATGGGATAAAGTGCCTGCTCCTAGTAGAGGCTGACAATGGCCTAGAAGGCGCAGAGACGCTAGAGGGGATCCTAAAGGGAAGGCTAATCAAAAATACTCACGATGCAGAGGAGATCAAAAAATGGTGGAGGTACAGGCACACTTCATTGTTGCTCACCCTGAGAAACATGTCAAAAGCCCAAAGCGGCCCGCACATATTCGAGGATGCAGCAGTCCCGGTGGAAAATCTGCCAAGATTGATGCTGCTGATAAAAGAGATGGAGGATGAGTTTGGCATCCGCGCCATCCTGTATGGGCACATGGGCAGCGGAAACCCTCATATGATAATGATTCCTGGCCAGAAAGACAAGAAACTGATTAAAAGAATTGCAAAACGGTACTTTGCCGGCGTGATTGAGATCGGCGGCACAATCACCGCAGAGCACGGCGACGGGCAGGCGCGGACGGACTTCGTCAGACAGCAGTACGGGGACGAGATCTTTTCGAGATTTCGACGGCTAAAAAAACTGCTCGATCCTCACGGAATTCTCAATCCGGGGAAGATCATCTCGGACAAGAGCCAGATTGTTAGAAACATGGTGCTGAGCTGATCCCGTGACACCGGCACGGAGGGCGCAGTGCAGGCGTAAAGGATCCGGCAGCCTGCTGCCAAAGTTGCCAGCGTTCCGGCATCAGGTCGCTTTCGGATCAGCCGGCCAGCAGCACGGTTGTGGCAGGCTCTGTTTTCCCTGAACCCCTTTCTGCGCTGTGCTTCCGTGCACTGAATCCGTGGGTACCTGCCGTATAAGGGCAAAGGCAAAGGATCTGGGCCTATACGGCGCACTTGGGCCTCCTGCCGGCCATTGCCATCTTGAGATTGAGGACCGCCAGACGCGCCATGTTCTCCCTAGTCTCCTTGGTGGAGGAACCCATGTGCGGCGTCAGCACCACATTCTCCATCTTTGCCAGCGGGCTGTCTGCTCCTAGCGGCTCGTCATAAAATACATCTAGCGCCGCGCCGGCGAGATCCCCGTTCTGGAGGGCCAGCACCAGATCCTTCTGGTTGATTACCCTGCCTCTGGACGTATTTACGATAAATGCGCCACGTTTCATCTTCGCCAGGAGGCTTCGATTTACCATATCGTGGGTTCGCTTGGTGTGGGGAATGTGCAGTGATACGATGTCGCTCTCCGAAAAGAGCTGATTCAGGGAGACATGCTCTATCCCGGCCTGCCTCTCCTGCCGCTCCGACAGCCTGCCGTTCCCGTGGTATACCACCTTCATGCCAAACGCCTGCGCCTTTTCCGCAAAGGACAACCCAATCCTTCCTGGCCCTAGGATGCCCACAGTCTTTGTCTCCAGATCCGTACCCAGAAAGTCGCAGGGCCCAAACACCTGCTGCCATCCGCCGGATCGTATCAGCCTGTCTCCCTCGCTGACCCTCCGCATCACGTCTAGCATCAGCGCAAACGCAAGATCCGCCGTGGCGCGGGTCAAGACATCCGGCGTGTACCCTACCAGTATGCCCCTGCTCTTTGTGCACTGCAAGTCTATGTGCTCATATCCCACGCTGTACGTGCTGATCGCCCGGAGGTCTGCTGCTGCCTCGATCACCTCCCTGTCTATGGTATCGTAGGGCATGCAGAGGATGCCCTCCTTGTCTGCGATCTTCGCGATCAGCTCCCCTTTTGAGATGGGGAACCTTCCGGCATGCGTCTCTAGACGGAATCCGTCCTGCAGATCTTTCATGGCAAAGTCCTGCAATCTTTTGGTCAGCAGAACCCTCTGGGCTCCTACCACAGTACGGGCTCCTCCTTGAACCACATAAAGATTATGTCCAGTTTCGATCCTTACGCCTGACCCAAACGCGGACGTTTCAACCCAGTTAGCTCAGAAGTGACTAGTATCTAGGGTGGGCATTGGCTGGAGAATATGCGGCAGGCCACGCGCCAGAGGCCAAAATGTGAGCCGTCCTGCGTGATCATGTGCAATTTGGGTGTGCGGGGGCGCAGCAGACATCGGTGATCCCTGCATGGCGCAAAAGGACGGGCCGGTGCGGAGTGTGGGACCGGCTGCAACGCAGTGGGGAGGCAGGCGCAGCCCCGGGATTGGCGGCGCGCGGCCTTCCGGCCCATTACTGCGGCAGGCGGCCCCGTAGGGACTGCCGCGGAAGTGGCGGAGCGGCGCTGATGCCGCGGCATGTGGCACCTGTGCAGCAGGGGCAGTGCGGATCGGGCGGCGGCTTTCCGCCGTCCATGCTCCAAGGAAGGATCTCCATCAGCATGATCACCTTCATGTCGGTCTGCGTGAATCTGGAGTAGACGCCGCCCAGCGTGAGCGGGTTGCTTGTCAGCTCGGCGTTTGCGAGAACCCAGGCGTTGAACAGCACAAGCGAGTAGAGAAAGCAGAGCGTCCTGACGGTGACGCTCCTGCTGCGCGTTCTTACCCTCTCGTTCTCCACCATCCTGAAGCCCGTCTCTATCATCCACCTCTCGGCGTACCTGTCGACGTCGATCCCTAGCCTGTTTGTGGCAAACGCGATGTACCGCTCCTCGGGCTCTTCTTCGCAGGATTCTGCCTTGCGCCTCTTCTTGCTCTTTCTCTTGCGCTCCGTTATGATCATGGCATATTCTGCGTAATCGTTCTTGGACTTTGTTATGCGGAACCCCGATATCTGCGGGCGCTCCCCTTTGGAGAACTCCGTAATGGCATCGACCACGTTGGGGGTGTTGACGCAGGGAACGAGGTAGCCCACGCCCAGCTCCTCCAGCGTCCTGATGACATCGGTAGAGAAGAACTCGCGGTCAAGCATGACCGTTCCGATCCCGGCACCCGTCCCCCCGCACGCCGTGATTGTCCTGCGCACGTAGTCGGCCGTGTCCTCAAGGGCAGGCATGTGCAGCAGCGCCAGCGCCAGCTGCACGCCCGGCCTGACGCACTGCGCCACAACGTACCGCTCGAAGGTGCCCGTCCTGCCCTTGCTCTTTGAGCGCACCAGTTCGGCCCCGTGCTTGCGATCCCAGCGCCGTACCAGGTGCATGTCAATGGCAATGTCCATCTGTTTTCCGCGAAGCAGGCCAAGCGACTGCAGCCTGTCCAGGTGGGAGGATATCATTCCCTCAAGCGACCTTGCCAGGTCGCCCGGGTCAATCCCCAGGCAGATGTGGGACATCCACTCGCCGCAGGGGGCCTCGCGGTGGCGCTTGGCGAGCATGCATGAGGCCGTCTTCCACCTCCGCACGGCTGCGGTATATCCGAAGATCGAGGCGCCGAGCGCGGCGGCCCCCATCATGATGGCATGAAAGGCGGCAGGGCCGTATCTTGCGTTGGGCTTTTTGGAGAGCAGGACGATCGGATCGAACACGGCCTCCGCCCCGCTCGTGGCGGACGAGCGGAGTCGCCGGTCGTTTGCGAGGGAGCGCCGCATGCCTCTCGGCTGGCGCGGCTTGCCTGTCATTTGGCGCTCCTCCCGCCTCCGTTCCCAGCGTGGCGCGGGATCAAGTTAGGCTTAAATGCCGATTCTGTGAGTCTAAACCGGTGCGTGAGCCCGTTCATGGTGATTCATTGACGGGTACTCTCACGCCGTTCATTTAACATGCAATGTTGCCTGTTTTGCAGGCGTTGGCAAATACTTCACAGCACGAGGGCGGTTGCGCATGCGCCTGTGCCGTCAGCAACGATCCGCAGTACGCCTCCACGCAGTCATGCCAGTCACTTCTGAGCTAACTGCAACCGGATAGTTAGTTTCACAACATTGTCTTCTACCAAGGCATCACCGCCTCAAGCAGGCTATCCCGCATGCCAGACTCCCAGAGGCCAACAGAATTCAAGCTGATGGTTGACTGTTTTAATCCGAAAAGTACTAGGATCAGATCAACGGTGTCACATCCATGGACAAAACCGGGACAGGCCCGACCAAACAGAAATCGCGACTGAAGATAACCCACGCCCAGAACGACGCCAGGTACGTGGAGATGGGAAAGCTGCTGCATCTGACGAAGGATCCCAGCTCGGACAGGGAGCTTGAGGGCATGAACATGAACAAGAACGGGCGCCCCTACAGTTACCCCGACACCGTCATAATGTCTATCGCGGGAATACGGGCCATTCACGGCCCCCTGCCGTACCGCATGTGCCAGGGAATGGCCGAATCGGCCCTAGGCGAGGAGGATGCCCCTGATCATGTCACCCTGTGGCGGAGAATAAATGCCATGGAGATACGGCAGGAAGACAACATAACCACGGTCAGGAACGGCAACGACGTTCTCTGCCTGATACCGGACGCCACCGGGCTGGCACCGGCCACGCGAAGCGACTGGATACACCACAAGCACAGGAAGGCGCGCGGGTTCATCAAGCTGAGCGTCATGATAAACCAAGAGACCCGGGAGATCCTGGCGTTCCGCGTAACGGACGAGCGGAAGGGCGACTCGTCCCAGTTCAAGGATCTGGTGGACGGTTCGCTGGAGGCGCTCGGCCTGGATTCGGAGAGCCTCAGGGCAGGGGTCCTGGCGAAGGGGGCAGCCAAGGCACAGGGTACAGATGCCGCGGCGGCCGGGAGTCGCGCCGAAAGATCCGCAGCGGGAGGCGCGAGGGCCACAGGCACCGCGGGATCCGCAGAACGGTACGGCATGCTGCCTTTCTGCCCTACAATGCATGCCGGAGGGCAGTCTGTGATAGAGCTGCGGGCAGATGCCGGATACGATACGAGGCAGATATTTGAATACTGCAAGAATCTGGGAATAGTGCCGCTCATCAGGATAAAGAAGAACGCCAACAGCAGAGCCGGCGGGGTGGGCAGGACGCGCGGCCTGGCCGCCCAAGATCAGCTGTGCGGTAGCGATCCCGGCCCGAAAAGACTCGCCGCGCTGGACGAGTGCGAGCGCGTCCAGAACCAGAAGGACTGGAAGAGGCGGGTCGGCTACGGCCGGCGGTGGCTGGTGGAGATCGTGTTCTCGTCGCTCAAGCGGATGTTCGGCGGTTCCGTAAACGCGGTAAAGATGGAAAACATCGTCCAGGAGATCGCAATAAGGATCAACACGTACAACAGGCTGTTGGCGGTGGCACGGGAGGCGATCGCAGGAGCATGAACGCAGAGTTGTCGCAAGCGCCCGCGCTTGGATCAAGGAGGTGCCATTAAGACCTAGGTTGTGAAACTAACTACAACCGGAACAAAGTTTTTATGTAAATACTTGATCCCTGAAACTTAAGCCATGAGCAGCAAGAAGAGAGGAGCCCCTCTGCCAGCATCAAGTGCGGGCCTTCTAAGATTCTTTGAGGACGAGACCAAGGGTTTCAAGGTAGATCCTAAGATAGTCGTATCCATGCCAATTAGTCTGATCGTGGCATCGTGGTTGATCGAGATTTTTCTGTCCCCGTGATGTGACAATGCCCAACTCTGATGATGTCTCAAGGATACACGGCAAGTATTCCGTAACGCTTCTTGCGCCATCCTCCAAGATTCGCTCCTTCGTCTACTCGATGATAGCAGCTACCGCATTCGTGGCTGCTGCCGTCTTTGGGTTTGTGCCAGAGGAGAACCTTGCCGTCCGCCTTGGCATGGTCATGGCGGTTCTAGCTGCAGCCCAGGCGCTGGACTCGAGACTGATCAGGAACAGGGACTACTCCAAGGCCATCCACCTCTCCCTCTACTCGAACATGCTCTGGCTAATATCGCTGCTGACTGCGCTGGCGGCTGCTGCCATCCTCTCAAGACCCGAGGCGTCCGTTGTGTACATCGGGATTGGGATGTTTGTGGTGTCAAGCTTTAGGATCGGACTGCTGACAACTGTCCTGGGGGTGGATGTAAAGCGGGCTTGGGGAATCTGCCTGATTCAGCCCCTGGCGGTGTTCCTGGTGCTGGTTCCGTCGGAGATGTGGCTGCCTGTGCTGTACAGCCCCCTGACACTGGGCTTTGGAATCCTCTTTATGGCACTGTCCACCATATGGTCCATACTCACAGACAGGGCCGGAAGGCCTGACCTGCACAGCACACACAGCCTGATACAGGCGTACCTGTACTCCCGGGAGGACATAGGAAAGATCGAGTCCATACTGGAGGAGCACTCAAGGCCCTCGAAGATCTCCACTGCCCAGCTGCGGCTCAAGGCAGAGGAGCGGGATGTCCGGCTGGTGCTGCCGGAGATCCATCCGGGGCCGTTCCACCCCATCGGCGGCAGCAACATATCGTACCGGATATACCAGACGCTGGACTCGTCGGCCATGGTAATGCACAGCATATCAGATCATGCCCTGAACCTCCCCTCGGGCCAGCAGGTGGAGTACTACCTCCAGAGCCTCTCAAAGGCCTCGCTAGCAGGAACCGGGGCATCGTGCACCGAGCCGGTGACGGTTCAGATCAACAGGGCCAGGGCGGTGGGCATCCGGTTTGACAAAAGCGCCATGCTGCTTCTCTCACTGTCGCCCCACGGAATGGAGGATCTTCCCAGCTACATCAAGAAGGACATCGAGGAGTACTCCAGGAACAGAAACTTTGAGAGGGTCATGATAGTGGACTGCCACAACGCCATGGGGCAGGAGATCTCCGGGGACGACTCGATAGACATGCTCAAGGCCGCCCGGTCCTGTCTTGACTCCCTGGTGACAAAGGAGGATCATCCGTTCGAGTTCGGTTACGCAAACTCCTCTGACATGGACATCTTCGTGCAGGACCTGGCAATGGGCGGACTGGCGGTCCTCTGCTTGGGCATCGGCGACAGGAAGTACTTTATCGGCTGGGCCGACTCAAACAACATGGAGAACGGCATCAGGGAGTATGTTGTGGAGCGGCTGGCAAGGGATGGGTACAGCCTGATCGAGATATCCACATCAGACACCCACTTTACACAGAGCCCGGTCAGGACAAAGCAGGGCTACTACCAGTTTGGCGCCATCACTACGCGGGAGGACATCTCCGAGTGGTACCTTGGGCTTGCCAGACGTGCAGCAAAGACACTGACGCCTGGCTCCTTTGAGATACTGGAGACCCAGACGGATCTCCAGGTTATGGGTCCCAAGATATTTGAGGACTTTTCGGGCGCACTGGACAGCTCCCTCAGGCTCTCCAAAATATTCATGGCAGCCGGCGTTGCCCTCTTTCTGGCTAGTCTGCTGTTATGACCCTCATCTCGTCCATGTGTCCGGGGAGACCATCCACAAATGACGCAAACTGCTCCACTGAGACCACGGGAACCATGCGGACATATGATACAGACTGCCTGTAGAGGGTGACTATTACGGGCAGGGCGCGGCACTCCGGACTCTTGGAGACGTACCGCTTGGCACGGGCCACCTGTTTTGCCACCGCCGATGCCAGCGGCACACTTCTGTGCCAGTGCTTGCAGTCAACTAGCACCGCGGTGTCGCCCTTTCTGCCTGCCACATCTATCTCCATCCTGGGAGACGCAAGCATCAGGTTCCGGGTTACAGCATAGTCCCTGTCGCGGAGAATCTCTGCCACAAGCCCCTCAAAGTCCCTCCAGTCAAGACACTCTGACACCTCGTCTATGGGCGCGCCACCCTCCAGGGCCAGCATGGCGCACCGGAGCCTGTCACCGGCAGAGAAGACGACAAAGTCGCCATCCCTCCGGCCTATCCCGGCTGACAGCACATCTGTGATGTGGCGGCCCAGATCCTCTGCCGGAACCCTTCCCGGTACGATGCTGCAAACCACCACTGCAAGCGCGCTCATCTGGTCATCGGGCATCCAGTGCAGATTTTAAAGTGTTCGTGCGCATGTCCTTGCGGATATCTTGGCGCAGCAGATCGGTTTATGGCGCCGGATCGACCTTCTAACGTTTATAAGAGCTGTTGGAAGTTTTTCGCCTATAGATATGGGTTACTCGAAGATACTGAGGAGGCTCCGTGAGGGCAAGACCAACTACAAGAAGCGCAGCTCCATGCTTATGGGCAGGCGTGACTTTGTAACTGTGTACATCTCCAACGAGAACACCATGGTTCAGATTCACAGACCGGAGATGGGCGGCGACAAGGTTCTGGCCTCGGCGCACTCCCGCTCCCTGATCTCCAAGGGGTGGAAGGGATCCCGCAAGAACATACCTGCGGCCTATCTTACAGGCTACCTGGCAGGAAAGAAGGCTCTGGGACACGACTCGACAGAGGCGATCATGTACTCTGGCACCCGGCGGTACACCGACAGAATGGCGGCAGCCCTCAAGGGAGTCCGGGACGCGGGGATGAAGATGCCTGCAGACGACGGGGCATTTCCACCCGACACAAGAATCAACGGCGAGCACCTCAAGATAAAGAATGACATTTCACAGTTCAAGGCACAGATTGACGGCGGGGCGATCTAGGAGATGAATCCGTCCAGATCAAGCAGGAACAAGCCACAGGAGGCACCATGGGTTCCAAAGACGATTCTGGGCAAGCAGGTGTCTGCCGGGGACATCACATCCATGGAGGAGATCCTTGAGCGCGGCCTGCGCATACAGGAAGCGGGAATCATCAAGAAGCTGCTGCCGGATCTCAAGACCGAGGTGATCGATGTGGGCATAATCCAGAAGATGACGCCCAACGGCCAGTCGACGCGCTTCAAGGCCATAGTGGCTGCGGGAAACAAGAACGGCTGGCTGGGAATCGGCCAGGGAAAGTCCAGGCAGATGAGGGTTGCAATAGAAAAGGCAAACAACGCGGCATACCTCAACGTAAGCCCAGTGAAGATGGGCTGCGGCAGCTGGGAGTGCAGGTGCGACCAAAAGCATTCGGTTCCATTCCGGGTTACCGGCAAGGGCGGAAGCGTCCAGATCGAGATACTGCCTGCTCCCAGGGGGCTGGGGCTGGTGGCAGGCGGAAAGATCCGGCGGCTGTTGGAGCTTGCAGGCCTCAAGGATGCGTGGACCAAGGCAAGGGGATCCACGGCTACTATGAACTCAACATCAAAGGCGGTGCTTGACTGCCTACGTCAGACATTCAGTCAGGGTTAGTGGATATGGCCGGCGCATACTTGGTAGTGAGAATCAAGGGACAGGTTGACGTTCCGTACTGGGCAGAGACCACACTCAAGCTCCTAAAGCTGGAGAAGAAATACAGGGCGACCATCGTTCCCGCCAAGGAGAACACACTGGGCATGCTAAACAAGGTAAAGCACTATGTCTCATGGATCGAGGCCGATCCGGCACTGGCTCGGGAACTCTTGGACAAGAAGGCCCGCAAGTCCGGCTACAGGAAGATCACCCACGAGGATGTCGCCCAGGCAGGCTTTGATGGCATGGACGACATGGCCTCCTCGCTGGCCGAGGGCAAGTCCTCACTGACAAAGATAAAGCCATTCAAACCGTGGTTCGCGCTGGCGCCTCCGCGGAAGGGATTCAAGCGCAGCACAAAGCGCCTGTACGGCCAGAAGGGCGTACTGGGCCACAACCGGGAACTGGACACCTTGGTCAGGAGCATGATATAATGGCAACCAGATTGCGAAAGACGCGCAGGCTTCGGGGATCCCGTACCTGCGGCTGGGGCCAGGTGGGCCAGCACCGATCCAGCGGCCACAAGGGCGGACTGGGAGTCTCCGGACAGCTCAAGCACCATTTCAGCTCGATGCTCAAGGACGATCCGGATCACTTTGGCCATGACTCCACCCATAGGCCACACCCCATCGTCACAAGAAAGTGGGCCAGCGTCAGGGATCTTGATGACATCTTTACCCGAATAGGCGAGACCAGGGACGGCAAGAACATAATCGATCTGGGCTCTGGCGGCTACGACAAGCTCCTCGGCGGCGGACAGGTTGCTACCGCATACGCAATTACGGTGCCATATTTTACTGCAGCAGCAGAAAGAAAGGTCACGGCAGCCAGCGGTGAGGTGCTAAAGTCCCATGGCTGAAGGCACTGCAACCGCACTTATCCGCAGGGTAGTGGTGGTGGTAGAGCCCTACCTGCCACAGGTTCCAAAACCCAAGAAGAAGCTGCAGCTCCAGACCAGGCTGCTCTGGTCGGGCCTTGCACTGCTCATATACATGGTGATGGGCCAGACGCCGCTCTTTGGGGCGACCACCCCCGAGTTTGACTTTCTGGCCTTTGCCCGTGTGATCTTTGCATCGCAGCAGGGTACCCTGGTGGAGCTGGGAATCGGACCCATAGTGACCGCCGGTCTCCTGATGCAGCTGCTGCGTGGCTCGGACATCCTCAAGTTCAACTTTAAAAAGCCCGAGGAGAGGGGCGTCTTTCAGACCGCCACCAAGCTTGTCACGTATGTGGTAATCATCATCGAGTCCAGCGTGTACGGCATAGCGGTGTACGGGCCCAACATTGCAGATCCCAACGTCCTCTACATCCTGGTAGGCCAGCTGATGGCGGCATCGATCATAGTCATGTTCCTGGACGAGATGATCCAGAAGGGATGGGGACTGGGCAGCGGAATCAGCCTCTTCATAATGGCAGGCGTCGCGCAGCAGATCCTCTGGAGCCTGTTCAGCCCCCTGCCCGGGGGCGACGGCGGGTACATCGGCATCGTACCGTACCTGGCGCAGTCCGCCATAGCCGGGGATCTCAGCAGCGTCTTCTTCAGGGCTAACCAGCTGCCCAGCATATTCGGCCTGCTGTTGACGGTAGGCGTCCTGCTGATTCTGGTCTTCACCCAGGGCATGAAGATAGAGATCCCGATCGTATCCACAAAGTACCGGGGCTTCTCGGCGGTGTACCCCATCAAGCTCATGTACGTCTCCAACATACCCGTAATCCTGGCATCGGCGCTTACCGCCAACGCGGTGTTTATGGGGCAGATGTTCTGGGCCAACTTCAACCCGCAGAATAATAACGCCTTTATGAACCTCATAGCGCAGTTCAATCCCACCAGCCCCTCCTCGCCCATCGGCGGCCTCATATACTACGTGACGCCGCCCAGGGGTCTGGACGTTGCCGTGCTGGATCCCGGCCGGGCCATAGGCTATGTCCTGTTCATGATAGGCATAGTGGTGGTATTTGGAAAACTCTGGGTCGAGCTGGGGGGCCTGTCGCCCAAGAAGGCGGCAGAGAACCTGCTTGATGCGGACGTGCAGATACCTGGCTTCCGCCGCTCCAACAAGCCCATCGAGTCGCTTCTGAACAGATACATTCCGTCAGTCACGCTCATCGGTTCCATAATACTAGGGACCCTGGCGGGAATATCTGACGTCTTGGGCGTGTTTGGCTCCGGCATCGGCATACTGCTCATGGTGGACATCCTGATCAACTATTACAACCAGCTCATACGGGAACAGGTCGAGACGGTCATGCCGCGCCTGGGAGCGCTTCTGGGAAGAAGGTAGGTTCTGGATATGGGCAGAAAGGTGGTCATAGTGGGAATCTCGGGTGTCGGAAAGACCACCCTGGTCTCTGCCATCGTGGAGCTGCTCAAGCACAGGAACAAGACCGTCTCTGTGGTCTCCTTTGGCACCATGATGTTCGAGGCGGCAAAGAAGGTGGGCGTAAACGACCGGGACAAGCTCCGGCGGCTTCCCATGGAGCAGCAGCAGAGCCTGCAGATGCAGGCAGGCACCCAGATATCCCTGATGACAGAGGATGTGGTGATAGTGGACACCCATGCGTTCATCTCTACACCCGCGGGATTCTACCCCGGCCTCCCCGAGTACGTCCTCAAGACAATACGACCGTCAAACTTTGTCTCCGTTACCGCAATGCCGGAGGAGATCTACAACCGCCGGATGAACGACCCCACCCGGAGACGTGACATCATATCGATATCGGCCATAAAGAGGGAGATGGACGTGCAGAACGCCATGCTCTCCACATGCTCCGTGCTCTCAGGATCCCCGCTCAAGTCAGTCATGAACGGGGAGGGAAAGGTTCAAGAAGCTGCACAGTCTGTAATAGATGCAATAGGGTTGTGATTGCATGGATATAGGAACCGTAGCGCTGTTTTTGGAGTCTGTCTTCCTTCAGGAAGGCTTCTTTGACTTCCAGAACCGTGGGGCCCTGGGAAGCGACGATCCCATCATTAAGGGCATGATAGTCTCGATGTTTGCGGTGGTCGGCTTTGGCATACTGCTGAACCTGTTCAACGCAGGCATCAGAAAGAAGATGGTCGACCAGGTAAAGCTGAAGCGGATCATGAAAGAGACCAAGGCCTGGCAGAAGGAGAGGATGGCGGCATTTCGCTCCAAGGACGAGAAGAAGCAGGCCGATCTCAGCAAAAAGTCCTCCTACATGAACAAGCTGAACATGGAGATGATGCAGATGAACATGCGTCCCATGATGATCACGTTCATTCCGCTTATACTCATATTCTACTTTGTGCTGCCGCAGGTCTTCTCATACACCGTGGCGCTCTCCCCGATTCCACTCAACGTCATCCCCGGCGACTGGTTCCAGCTTACCTGTACCGCCGAAGGCGTTGCGGACGGCAGCTTCTGCAACCGGGAGAACGAGCTGTTTCTGTGGGCGTGGTACTTTTTGTCCTCCATCGCATTCAGCGGCATTGTAATGAAAGTCACAAAAACGTCCATGGATTTCAGTTGAGAAGATCCATTGTAATATCAGGGCCTCCCGCAGTGGGCAAGACCACGGTGGCACGGGCGCTAGCCGATGAGTTTGATATGGAGCACATCAGTGGGGGCGACGTACTCAAGGATATGGCAAAGAGCGCAGGCTATGACAGCGGCGGTGCCGACTGGTGGGATACGGAACCGGGAATACAGTTCCTGAAGGTTCGACAGGCAGACGGGAGCTTTGATCGGGAGGTGGACCAGAGGCTGATCCAGTTCCTGCGGGATGGTAACAGGGTCATCACCAGCTACACCCTGCCGTGGCTTGTGGATGGCGGGATCAAGATCTGGCTGTCTGGCTCCCACCGTAGCAGCGCCGCACGCATGCGGGTCAGGGACAACATGGATCTGCAGGAGGCCATGAAGATCACCAAACAGAGGTTCGATGCCAATAAGATCTTCTACAAGAAGCTCTACGACATCGATTTTGGCGACGACCTCTCGGTGTTTCATGCCAAGATAGACACGGATCAGATGAGCGCGCAGAGCGTCATAGATACGGCAGGCAGGGCCGTCAGGAGCTGGCTATGACCCTTGCGCAGCTCCAGGACCTCCAGGTCATAGACCAGGATGCCACAGACGACAGCTACGGCACATACTACGACCATCGGAGCGTGGAGCAGCTCCTCAGGTACGGCATCATACTGCTTGACAAGCCTCCAGGACCCACCAGTCACGAGGTGGTGGCCTGGGCAAAGAGGATACTCAAGATTCCCAAGGTGGGCCACAGCGGGACTCTGGATCCACAGGTTACCGGCGTTCTGCCCCTGGGCCTGGGCGAAGCCACAAAGGCGCTGGGCGTCCTGCTTTTGGGCCCCAAGGAGTACCATGCGCTGGGGCGACTGCATGTCCTTCCCTCCGCGGCGCGCCTGGATGACGTCTTGGCGCAGTTTACCGGCAAGATATACCAGAAACCGCCCCAAAGGTCGGCAGTGCTGCGCAGGACCAGGAGCAGGCACATATACGACATGGACATTCTTGAGCGAAAGGAGCGCCTGGTGCTGCTTCGCGTGTCGTGCGAGGCAGGCACCTACATCCGCAAGCTGCTCTACGACATGGGCGAGGTTCTGGGCCCCGGAGCGACCATGGTGGAGCTGCGGAGAACCAGGGTGGATCACTTTACTGAAGAGAACCTGGTGACGCTGCACGAGCTGGCAGACGCATACGCAGTCTGGGAGGAGAGCCAGGACAGCTCCAAGCTCTGCGGCATGATCCACCCCGTGGAGTATGCACTGCAGGGAATCAAGTCGGTGGTGATCCGCGACTCGGCCGTTGATGCGCTGTGCCACGGAGCCCAGCTGGCAATCCCCGGCGTACTTGAGATAAGCCCCGGCCTGAAGAAGGGTGATACTGTGGCAGTCTACACGCAGAAAGGCGAGGCGGTGGCACTGGCCGAGGCCACGCTTGACGAGCAGGAGATCGAGGAGCTTACAAAGGGATATGCCTTTCAGACCAGGCGAATCATAATGGGGGCAGGCACGTATCCCAAGAGCTGGAGATCCCCGCGCAAGCCTTCGGAGAAGTGACGTTGCTTCCCAAGAGTCTGATCGTGGCCGTGTCCTCGGGGGTTGCGTCTGCAGGCCTGCTGGGGCTTTTGTTCCTGTATGTCGGTGACGGCAGGGATCCGGTGTTTGTGGATGGCGCATCAGTATCTGTGGTAGCGGATATGGAGCGCTACAAGACGGGCCAGCCCGTCAAGATCATGGTCGTAAACTCGGGTACCGTGCCATGGAGTCGCCTGGCATGTATGGCCTGGAGATACGGGGGCTGGACACGATGCTGATCTACTCAGTGCCTGACCAGACTCCGCACACGCTGGAGCCGGGGCAGAAAGTCCACATCTCCTGGGATCAGACCAAGAGCGACGGGACTCCGGTGCTGCAGGGGGTCTACAAGATACACATCAGGGCATCGGCCCCGGACGGAACGGTAGTCCGGGACGATGTCAGCGTTCAGGTTCTGGGGTAGCCCTGGGGAAATAACCTATTATATAATCGGGCGGCAGATTGCCTTTGTCGAAGAGACAGTGCCGGGGTTGCCTAGCCTGGTAAGGCGCGCGCCTGGAAACAAGCCATAAAGCGCGTTCTCGCAAGGGATCGGGAGTTCAAATCTCCCTCCCGGCGCCATGCCATCTGCATCTTTTAATATCCAGAGTGTGAACACTGACTGTGAGGACCGATATCTCTTGGATGATTGGCGGCCCTCAGGGGAGCGGTGTGGAGTCGGCTGCCAACATATTCTCCAGGGTGTGCGCCCGTTTGGGCTACCGCATCTTTGGAAAGCGTGAGTTCTACTCCAATATCAAGGGGGAGCACAGCTACTTTGTCGTGAGGGTATCTGACAAAAAGATACACTCCGGCGTCAGCAGCGTCACGCTGATGGTCTCCTATGATGCAGAGACCATCTTCCGGCACTGCTTCGAGGTCGTTCCCGGGGGCGGCATACTGTACGACTCTGATCTTGCGGACGTCTCGATCGACGACGTACACACGCTGGATGGCCCGTTCAAGGCCAGAATCAGACGGATGTTTCTGTCTGCAGGCAAGCAGCCGACCGTGGCATCGATACTTGAGATGAGCAGGGCACGGGGGGTGATGCTCTACCCGGTGTCCTTTAGGGGCACGCTGGCAGAGATTGCCCAGAGGGAGGACAATCCCAAGATAAAGGGCATGGTCCGAATGTTTAACACCATCGGGGTCTCCCTGTCCATGGGGCTTCTCAGAATGCCGCCCGGCCCGCTCTTCAGCTCCATCGAGTTCGTCTTTTCAAAAAAGCCCAAGGTGGCCATGCTCAACAGGCAGGTTGCCAACTTTGCCTACAGCTATGCCAGCGCGTCGTTCTCCGGGTTCAGGCACTTTCTCAGCTCGGTTCCAAAGGAGCCCCACACGATGCTTGTGCAGGGCTTTCACGGGACTGCCATCGGCAAGATGGTCTGCGGATGCAGGTTCCAGCCCTACTACCCCATCACACCTGCCTCTGACGAGTCCGTGTACCTGGAATCAAACGCGATCCTGGACACAATCGGTGATCGCCCTGGATCCACCGTGGTGGTCCAGACCGAGGACGAGATCTCGGCCATCGGGATGACCATCGGCGGCGCCCTTACGGGGACCCGCTCCTCCACTTGCACCTCCGGCCCGGGATTCTCGCTGATGGCCGAGTGCCTGGGCTGGGCAGGCATGAACGAGGTGCCGATAGTAGTTACAAACTACCAGAGAAGCGGCCCGGCCACCGGCCTGCCAACGCGCCACGGCCAGGACGACCTGCTCTTTGCGATACATGCGGGCCACGGCGAGTTCCCAAGAATAGTCTACGCCTCAGGCGACATCGAGGAGAGCTTTTACGACACCGCGCGGTGCTTCAACTATGCCGACGTCTATCAGGTGCCGGTAATCCACCTCATGGACAAGTTTCTTGCCAGCTCCACGGTCACATGCCAGCGGTTTGATCCGGAGCTAGTCGAGATCGACCGTGGAAAGCTGCTGGAGAGGATCGAGCGGGACGACTACCGGCGGTTTGAGCAGACTTCTGACGGAATATCGCCGCGCTCCAAGCTGGGGCTGGAGAACGGAATATTCTGGAACACCGGCGACGAGAGTGACGAGTATGGGCACATCACGGAAGATCCGGTGACCCGTGTGGAGATGATGGACAAGCGCATGGGAAAACTGGATCGGATTCTGCAGTCGGTTCCCGACGAGGATCAGGCGGTCTCCTTTGGGGTCTCTGAGCATACCGTGGTCAGCTGGGGCTCTGCCAAGGGACCAATTGTTGACGCCATCCTGATGCTGCAGGACGAGGGCATAAAGGTGGGTTTTGTACAGATAAAGATGCTTCATCCGTTTCCCTCGGGCCTGGTGGACTTTCTGCTCAAAGACGCCAAGACCATAATCGATGTGGAGGCAAACCATTCCGGCCAGCTGGGCAAGATCCTCAGGCAGAACACGGGCCGTGAACCTGACTACTACATCCTCAAGTACTCGGGAAGGATCATGACCTGTACCGAGATATACAACGCCCTCAAACGTATTATTGCGGGGGTGGCAGACAAAAGGGAGGTTCTGATGCATGGCGCTTAAACTGGCAGACTACAAGACCGACGTGCACAACGACTGGTGTCCGGGCTGCGGCGACTTTGGAATCGTCAACGCCATCCAGATGGCCATGGCCGAGCTGCAGATTCCACGGCACCAGGCGGCCATATTCTCGGGAATCGGGTGCTCCGGCAAGACCTCCCACTTCATCAACGTGTACGGCATTCACACGCTGCACGGCCGGGTTCTCCCGTTTGCGCAGGGAGCCAAGCTGACAAACCCGCAGATGACCGTGGTTGCAGCCGGCGGCGACGGCGACGGCTTGGGAATCGGGGCGGGGCACTTTGTTGCCGCCGGGAGACGGAACATAGACATGACCTATATTGTATTTGACAACGGCGTGTACGGCCTCACCAAGGGCCAGGCATCGCCGACACTAAGGCTGGGAGAGAAGACAAAGTCGCTTCCCACCCCCAACGCAAACTACAACGTGAATCCCATCGGACTTGCTGTAGTCAGCGGGTTCACGTTCGTGGCCCGGGGGTACTCGTACGACGTGCGGCACCTCAAGGATCTGATCAAGGCCGCCATCGCGCATCCCGGGCTTGCATTTCTTGACGTGCTGCAGCCCTGCCCCACCTATAACGACATCAACACCAGGGACTGGTACGCCGGCCACGACCTGGCAACCGAGTCACAGGCGCGGCATTCCCGAATATACAAGCTGGAGGATCAAGGGTACGACCCCGTGGTTCACTACAGCGGGGGGGCGGAGGTTGACGAGCGGCTCAGCCAGGCTCTCATCAGATCGCTGGAGTGGGACAGTAAGATACCCATCGGCGTCTTCTACAAGAACGAGCTCGTCGGGCCCTACGAGCATAGAATCATCAACAACATCCCAAACTACATGGAGAACCCCCCCGCGGCGCAGAGCATTGCCAGAAATGCCAAACCCAGAACCGACATCTCTGGACTGCTGGACTCGCTGGAGATCTAGCCCCGGCAGACTCTGCCGGGGTCGGTGACTGCCGGATCGTGCCTGGCACCCGTCAGGCGTCATCTGTCATGGTGTACCGCCTCGTGCCTGCCTGCACCTCGTGGAGCCTCCACCTCTTTGCGCCCTCGTCGAACCGGTACGTCATATCCGAGACATCCTGCGGCATCTTTGGCGACCCCATGTGGTACGGAAGCAGCTCCAGCACAAAGTCTATCTTCTCCAGCGCGTTGTTGTACCACTGCCGGTCCACGGCGTCCAGGACGAACCTTATCGAGGGACTGCCGGCAAAGTTGATGGTTATCTTGAGCGCGTTGTTCCGGCCGCGGCGCCGCTTCATCTCCTTGAGGAGCGCCTTGACGTTCTCCCACCTTCTAAAGTCAAACCACTCAAAGAACTCCTCTGAGAACGCCACCGGAATATCGATGTGCATGACACTGGCAAAGCCAGCATAGTCCGGCTCAAGCTCCTCCTGGGTAATTTTGAATCTGGAATTGAGATAGCTGTACACCACCTCTATCTCCCATGGCGAGATGCCGTAGTATCGCAGGCCAGCCTTGAGAGGTTCATCGCTCAACGATCTCAGGGGCGGGGTTTTCTAATTAAAGGTTCACCGGCGTGTAGCGCGAGCCTGCGTCTGCCTCTGCGTGATCTGCAGATGGCAACCGTGTGGCAGTTGCCGCTCCGGCCTAGCCGCCTGTGGCCGCATCAAACAGCGCGCACTCGCAACTGTCGCGTTCTCCGCAAAAAGGGCAGACACATCGACACATCTCAATGGGATTTGAGCATGTTACGCAGATTGCAAACTCCTCGTATGGTACATCGTCTGCCATGAATTTCCAGTGCAACCTAATGCTATAAATGGTTTAAGATACCTGTTTGAGGGCTGCGCAATCGTGCTCCGTAGTCGCGTTGAGGCAGGCGCACCACATACCAAAAATGGTTCGCGATACTCTGGCGTGGTGTGTGGCACCACATGCGGCGGCCGTGCCTTTGATCGAGGGATCAACTCACGTCCAGCACTAGCCAGCCTGTGAGTGACAGGACATGCGCAAGGCGTAATCGGGCACCGGTTTTCAAGTACCATTCCACATGACTCGATGGGATCCGGATAGCGGGTAGGAAAACCACGGCGGCATAAGGAGGGCACATCCATTGGCGTCAGAGCTGAATCAGGCTGTCGGGACTTGCATTTATGCAGTCAGTGCCCACAGCTTTCAGTGTGGTAAACCTGATCTTGCCCTGCGGAACAATCTGCCGCTTCTGGAGTGATGCCATCGTGTCCGACATCTTGTGCCTGTGAAGCTGACACACAACGCCCACCATGTACTCCCCGTCCTCGGACATGACCGATATGACAAATGTGGGCGGGTTTACGCAGCGTCGCTCATTTGCTACTATTGAGCACCTGTCAGGCAACATAACCCGCAGAGCTGCTCTATGGGATATTAAGATTGGCCGTTCGCATTCATAACCATGGGGGCCGGGTTGGACATGGGTCAAACCCTCGCCTTCGACCGTACCGGTCATTATTTATGCAAAAACTTGCACAGAATTGTCAGAAATATCCAAATTAATCTAACCTCTTGCATATAAGTTGCAGATATGGTTAAATACTTCAGCAATTATCGTATGATATTACAATGACATCTTCTAGACTTGGTATGAAAAATGCAAAATCCCTCCTCTTTGCCGTTTTTATAACTGGAATCATGGTGGCAGCTGGCCCGATGGCATACGCTGGAAGTGGTTATAATTCCAACTCTACAGGATATGACAAGGACGAACGCATGGAATCACACTCTATGATGAGTCCAATGCCTGACGAATCTGGAAGGTACAGCGCACCGCAGCAACAGCTGAGTGACGGGGTTCCTATTTACAAGATCCAATGCAATGATCCACTGATGCTGTACATTAGGGATGCACCAGACATGAAGGACGATGCTATGGATGGCATGGAAGAGGACACCATGGAAGAGACCGCTGAGGACACCATGGAAGAGACCGCTGAGGACACCATGGAAGAGACCGCTGAGGACACCATGGAAGAGACCGCTGAGGACACCATGGAAGAGACCGCTGAGGACACCATGGAAGAGACCGCTGAGGACACCATGGAAGAGACCGCTGAGGACACCATGGAAGAGACCGCTGAGGACACCATGGAAGAGACCGCTGAGGACACCATGGAAGAGACCGCTGAGGACACCATGGAAGAGACCGCTGAGGACACCATGGAAGAGACCGCTGAGGACACCATGGAAGAGACCGCTGAGGACACCATGGAAGAGACCGCTGAGGACACCATGGAAGAGACCGCTGAGGACACCATGGAAGAGACCGCTGAGGACACCATGGAAGAGACCGCTGAGGACACCATGGAAGAGACGCTGAGGACACATGGAGGACGTAGGACACATGGAAGAGACCGCTGAGGACACCATGAAGAGACCGCTGAGGACACCATGGAAGAGACCGCTGAGGACACCATGGAAGAGACCGCTGAGGACACCATGGAAGAGACCGCTGAGGACACCATGGAAGAGACCGCTGAGGACACATGGAAGAGACCGCTGAGGACACCATGGAAGAGACCGCTGAGGACACCATGGAAGAGACCGCTGAGGACACCATGGAAGAGACCGCTGAGGACACCATGGAAGAGACCGCTGAGGACACCATGGAAGAGACCGCTGAGGACACCATGGAAGACAAACGGATGGATTCCGGCATGATGTCCATGAAGATGGACTTCGGCGATGCTACGCCGTTATGCCTTAGCCCTGATACGGCTGAAATCCTAACAGAACGCGGTATAGATTTGACACTGCTTTCAGCTTTGCACGACACCATGGTGGAAAAATACGACACTATGACCATGAAAGACGAATCCATGGACAGCATGGAAGACGAGTCCATGGACAGCATGGAAGACGATGCCACGGATGGCATGGAAAACAACACGTCCACAGAAGACAATCCATAGGTGCTGCAACTGCAACAATAATGGGAACATCATTGACAACCTGATCATGCTTGGCACGGGCAAGTGCTATTCTGTTTGTGTGTAACCTGCAAGGAGATCAGGGCATGGCCTTTGCTATCAGCCCAGCTTGGTACATGGCGCCTGACCCGTCAATGCGCATCTGTCAGCTCCCGAAACCAGGCAGATCCAGAAGACGCTAAACTGGGCAGCTGCACTCCTGGGAGGAAAGGGTTTGGAAGCAGAGATCCTGTACGTGGTAAATCTGAACCTGGTCACTGTTTGTAATCAATGCATGTGCGCCAAAATTGTGCCCGAATCTGGGCACTCGTCGGAATGATTTGGTTATCAACATTATGAAAAAACATCTGTTTAGGGTAATTCTGATCGCTTGTGATGCTATTATCGCACGGATTCAGGGCTCTGCAAGCTGTCGTATATGGCCAGATCCATGCCTGGAGCCGGAGTCCCGTGTCAGATGCCGTGGTGGCCGGGCCCGGCATGGCTGTCCGGCGTCAGCGACACTACCATGTGGCTCTGTTCAATTTTGGTGATCTGGCATCTCCACTGTTCAAAAGTGAGCTCTTCAGATCGCATCCGGAATCCTGCGGAACCAGCTGTTCGAAAGTGATCTCGCAGCCGAGTTACTACTGTTCAGAATTGTGGATCTGGGCCTGAAACGGGCCAGTCTGGCACGTAGTCTGTAGCATTCTCCTGCCTGCCGAACACTACACCCCCTGTCCTGCTGATCCTGTTCTTGTTGGGACCCGTCCGCCTCGTGGGGCTTGCGCCAAGGACCGCCCTACAACTGTGGCAGTTGGCCTGGGTTATCCACTTTCCACCCATATGTCGATACCCTATCATCGTCTCCACTTCCTGCGACGTCAGGGCGACCAAGCCGCAGTTATGACAAATCTCAAACGTCTGGATCGGTACCTTGCCAGACAGGTTGCGTGTGCGGATCGCCTTCATGCTCGGGATGGACTCGATGTCTTTGGACCACTGGCACTTATTGTATAGTGACGAGACTAAGTTCTTGGAGAAAAACACGCCAGACCAGAACGAATATTGATCGAATCTGCCTAGACGATGCATGGCGAAAACAAGAGGGGAGCTGTACCTGGCGTTCAAAAAGGAAAAGGATCCAAAGGTACGCAGCAGGATGCTTGCAGTCCACATAGTGCGCATCCGCGGCTTCGGGATAGACGAGACAGCAGAAAACCTCATGCAGTGTCCCAACCGGGTCCGCATGTGGGTGGAGCGCTATGATCTGGGAGGCCTTGACAGCCTCCGGGATCTCCCCCGGAGCGGAAGGCCAAGGTATACTCCCGCCAAGGCGTCGGACCGGATAATTTCAGACATCGGCCGCTCAAGGATCACTCCCGTCAGGCTGCAACAGGCCATACGCGAAAAGACGGGCAGAAAGCTGCACATCACGTACGTCAGAAAGATCATGCGCGGCAACGTCCTGTCCCCAAAGGCGTCACAGAAGATCCACATCAGACGGGCAAGCGGCAAGGCTGTAAGAAATTGGCAGTATGACATCAAAAAGTGGATTTCCCGCATGGAAAGCGAGGGATTCACCGTATTGATGGAAGACGAGGCGTTCTTCATCCACGACGCGGCAGCGGGCCGCAAGTACTGGTCTCCCGTGGGAAGCCCGGTGACGGTGTCCTATACAGGCAGCCACAGAAAGATTGCCGTGTACGGGTCGGTTGCAAGGGACGGCAGGCAGTTCTTCCGAACCTACGACAGATTCGATTCCGAGACCTTTGCCAAGCACCTGAAGGATCTGCAAGCTCACTTTGGAAGGGTCGCCGTGATAACGGACAGGGCCTCCCCGCACCGGGCTAGACTGGTCCGGGAACTGTTGAAGAAAAACAGAGGCATCAGAATCAGGCACTTCCCCAAGGGCTCGCCGTACCTTAACGCGGTGGAGGAATGCTGGCATCAGGGAAAGCGCATTCTTCTTGTCTCGGAATACTACGAGACGTTCTCCGATCTGTGCCGTGCCGCC